GGTTGGAAATGTGCTCTATTAATTATATTACAGGATTAAATTTTACAGAACCGATATAACTTTTTTTTTTAAAAAACTATCAGTTTGCTTAAGACTATTAAATCATATGAAACAATCAGAATATAGTGTAACTCGTATCTCATGTCAATTTATGGCATACAATTTAAGAGAATAACTTGTTTCTTTATAATATAATTGACATTAAAAATTTCATAATGTAAATTAAAATTGAAAATTGTCCTGTCAGTTGGTTTTCATTTCTTAATTCCATTTATTAGTATTTTAAAAAATCATGTTAGGTAGTTAGTTACTTAGTTAGTGATAATCGTATTAAAGAAACAAAATTATGTGGTTGTGTACGTGTAAATTTGTAGACTTTTCTGAAAATATTAATAAAGGTATGTATTTAACAAAAGGTTCATCAAGAATACATCATTTTGCAGTTGGTCTAATTGCTCACAAAATTCGTTTCATAAGATACTTACTTACGGGTTGGTGTTTTTTAGCAAGAGTGTTGCAACGGGATGTGGTTATCAACCTCATGCCCAACCCTCTTTTTTTACCCTGGATTAAAACCGTCATTAACTTTAGAATAGCTATAGACGGAGTTTATGATAAGATAGCTATTTTTTTTATTTCAAAGTTTGCACTTCACAGTGAATGCTGTGATCGAAATATGAAGAATTTAGCATGACTATAATCAACGGAAAAACTTATCAGATATATGATAATGATTTTTTGATTTATCTTTACGGGAAATTTATTCATCTATATGGGTTTATGGCATTCTGGCAATAACAACTGATGTTAGTTTGTGATGAAAACCTTATCTTTAATTCGTAACCTCGGTTTCGTGTCCTGATTCCTCACATTATTTATAACCCAATTTTTTACCAATGAAATAGCCTAAGTTTTTGTAGTAACATTGAAAGCATCTAAACGTTGTCAATAAATTATACTCTGATCGACAAAGTGTGAAACGGGAAATATGAGGTATAAACGCGTGTTGTCATGTCTAGGATTCTATATATTTCTAGGTAGCAATTGTTAAACATTTGTTTTACTATACTTTATTTCTATGTCTAGTTGATCATAAACAAACTAGAATCTGGCACATTACATAAGCACAATGAAACGACATTAACAAAACGAATTTCAGAGTAACGGAAGTAGTAGCAGTGTCATTAATGGTATTAAAAAAACTATATGAAGACAAAATGACGAGATAAGAAAGAATTAACTTATTTAATAAAAAAGAATATGATAATTTTAAAGTTCAGGATTAAAGGGAAGTCAGTAAATGAATGCATCTGTACAACTGGGACAGATTTTGACTTATTTCACCTAAAATTTCAATGTATTGGTTAGAACAAGCATTTGGAAATTAATCAGATTGAAGATACTCAAACATTATGACAAATTGGTTAATTATGGAATTCAAAACTGTACTGCAATCAAGAATGATATCGATATCATTCACATGCAAGAGAATGAATTGATGGCAAGTTTTTATGTGTCTTCCTTATTTACTAATGTACCTAAGCAATGGATATCATTAATGATTGTTTAGAATGACACATTTGAATTTACGATCCCCGTTAGATCCTTCCGAGATTATTAAGTGTTTGGAATTGTCTTTATGATACATCGTATTCTTATTTGAGATATTTGCAGACGAAAAGTTGTGACAATCGGTTCATCAGTTTATCTGAGTGCAATGAATTTATTCATGCATTCCTTAGAAACCAGTGAGATTACAAAATGTGTAAATTCACCCAAAGTTTGGTTGCGTTATGTTGAGAACATTTTGTTATCATTAAACGAAGTGGTTTAGAAGAAATATTTGAAAGTGCAAACAACATAACGGATAGCATTAAGTTAAAGAAAGAGATACAGTCCACTAACTACAAAGTAGAGTTCCTGGATAGTTTAGTCGAAAGAATGCATAATATTAAGTTACAAATTATCCTATTCCTCAAATCAACATATTCTGAGATTACGGTTTAGTTCATTCTTGTTGTACAAAGATAACAGCCATGAAAAATTTAAGTAACAGCAGCAGTAATTTGACTACAAAGAGGAAAGACCAAAAGACTGAAATGAACTTGAAATTGTCTATACTTTGGGCAAACAATTAACCTAAATAGTTTTAAAGAAGACTGTTAGACATAGAAGAAAAACTAAATTAGAGTGTATCACGGATGAATAGAAGAAAACGACGATCAAATACTGAGAAGAAATATCAGAAGGAACTAAGGGGATTGTGACCAAACAATAACATACCGTACTTTTGGACCAGTGATATAATAAGATCGGTGTTAGTGAAAGATAATGATAGGTTTCTAAAGGAACAGCAATAGGATGTTGTCTATGAGACCAGCTGTCAGGATTGTAATGCAGGTTATGTTGAAGAAACATTTAAGCAGTTGAATGTGAGGTTGAAAGAACACAAACGATGTTTGATACATGTTCCCAACTCTCCAGTTAGTCTAAAGAAACTTGAGAATAAATCAGCAGTACCGTTGTGTGCATTATAAAAAGGATACAAGATGAACTTCAAAGGGACCAAAATAATTCAGAAAGTGTTTGGCACATGCAAAGGAAGATTGATAACTTAAAATTATACACACACACCCACTCATCTGTTAATTCACACTTCGGGAACTTTTCACGTGATTCACATATAAATGATTCATATTATCCTGCTTACTAAAGTCAAAATCTGAATACGATTGGATGAAAATTTAGTATCAATTTGATTCGGTTGTTAAGCCGTAATTCTTTGATAATTTTGATTTTTATCGGAATGGGTTTTCGTGGATATTGGAGTAATTTTTAATAGTTGAATTCATGAGTCAATTAAAGCTGGACCGTCATGGAAAACCTGTGAGCACTAAACAGCCGTTTCGTCCTAGTACGGGACTCCTCTGAAGGGCGCATCCACGACTCCGCACGCTGAGTCGACCCATGATTGTCTAGATTTAATCGACTCATGAACTCAACTATTAAAAGTTACCACAATATCCACAAAACCCCATTCTGATAATAATCATCATATGCTCACTAGTGACTGGCTTGATGAGGTATTTCTTTGGGTTATAGTGAGAAGCCGTAACCAGTGGAGTTCAACCGTGTCTGTTGTAGAGGCAGTTACTCACTGAAAACAATGGTGGACGGCCGCGCAATATCGTAGACTGGTTGAAGTTAGGCATTAACACCGCTGGATGCCGGCTCAGTGGTCTAGATGTTAAGCGTTAGCGCGTGAGACCGAAGGCCATGGGTCCAAGTCCCACGTGCGGGATCGTGAATGCGCACTTTAGAGTAGTCCCATACTAGGACGAAACGGCTGTTCAGTGCTTTCAGGTTTTCCATGGTGGTCTAGCTTTATTCGACTCATGAATTCAACTACTAAAAATTTTGATTTTGATTATTACCCCGAAGTCCAGACAAGTTTACTGGACGAAACGTTGGAATTGCTTGAACTCCAACCTCTGAGATTATTTCAGCTATAATTTCACAAATAAGTTGGTGCTAGTTGAATAAATGTGGAGAAGTCAATAGAAAGAGGCCGAAATTCACGAACACAATTCATTTTTTATTTTGACCATTTTATAATGAAACACAACAATTTCATTTCTTTACAATGATGTATTTGGGAAGTTGGAAGAGTATTTGAATTTTTTAGTCATTGGTTCAAACAGATCGAAATAAAAACGATACATAGTTATATTACTTGCAACCTCATATACATTTTGCACAATGTTGGGTGACTAGAAGATGTAGACAGCAGACGCCGATCCAGCAAGTTTAGACTCACTGGTAGGGCGTATCTACAACTTTGAGGACCTGATATTCCCTAAGGGCTTCACACCTTGGCCACCAAGCTCTACAGTCTAACATATATAGTATTCCAGTTATCTTTTGCAACAGCAACTACTGTGGTGTGTGCTACTTATATTGGCATAAGTGATAAATGGTGTTAGTCGTGAACAAAATGTCTGGCAGCAGAGAGACAAGAGGATCGAACAGTAAAGAATGGAAACAAAATGCAATTTGTATGAAAATGCAAGGACACTGAAGTCTGAGTCATTATGAGACAACTGATGGATATTTTTCAAATTACGTATTTACTTTATGATTGTAAGATTTTATTAACAAGTCCTGTAATTTTGTGTTTAATACAATCGATTGTCACCACTGGTGTTCTTGTTCACTACACTACTACCGATGGAGTTTATGATACAAGAATTGTTTCATTGAAGATAACTAAACCGTATAATACCACTCTCAGAAAATCATTTGCAATATGACTAAGACACTTTTGTGACTTTTAAATATAGAAATGTTTAACTGTCAATCATAAAAAGGAACAAAACTTGGATGTTTTGAAGAAAAACTGACAGTTCTGTGTATATAACTTTCAGAAACATTGTCAGGTGCAATTTAAGCTCAAAAAATCTACTCTGAAAAACATCACCATTTTAAAGGTAAAACATGTATCTCTAAACCAAAAGACAGAAAGGCAGTTTTCGCCTCAAACTTAGAATACATAGTGCACCAGGCGGAAGCATACAACAATGGACAGTTATTTCATAGTTTTATACAAACAACTCTTTCAGCAGAAACTCCAAGAATATTTAGTTATTGTGGTGAATGCATTATACACAGATTACTGGTTTTGCATGGAAGTCTTCATCTTCAATTTTATTTCATCCAACCGTTACTAATGACATTGAATAATCTTAATGCTACAGTGCTGTCGACTAAAGATGACAATACAGACTAATTGATTTTGAATCAAGGGATTAAGCGTAACAAACTGGATGAGAGACTAGAAAGGCAGTGGTTTGATCAGGAGTTGCCAATCCTGTATAATTCCAAACTAGGAGAGAGCAAGTATCCAACACTTCCCTGTTTTCAATAGTACCCCACTCAATATTCATTCACAATGAATGTCACCTTCAAGTTAAACACCAAATCCATTGAACAAAATATCAGATCACTTGATGAATAATGAATTTATTTGGGCTAGATACAAGTTATCTATTAATGTTTTCAATTAAATAAGCATTAAAACAAATAATTTGAAGAATCATATTCTTTTAAAGGTAAAATTTAAGAAAAAGTAATTATCCCCGGATATCATCTTCATCATAATAGTATTTGTTATTTTATGTTACGAAAAAAACATCTGTTATCTATCATATTAAATTATTTGTTTTTCTTCAAGTTATCTAGTTATTTAACTATGTACTAGTTATTTCTTCATCTGGTGTTCTCCATATAAGATAAGATACATCACGTACACGAAATATAAAACACTTATTAGCACTATGTGAATAACTACTCCAAAATGATCCTTTAACTATGACAACATGCCATGCTTTACCGTAAGTGTTATCTAACCATTGTTTCAATTGAACAGCTTGATCTTTCTCATCTAATTTCTTTGGAGATGTTAAGATTTCAATTGCTTTATTACTGATAGCAATTTGTTTATCCAATGGAAGCTGTTCATAGATTACAACAACATCTGGATGAAGTTTCGCAGAAGCTGATTGTTGATGTTGTGTTTTCATGGCTACTCTGTAGACCGAAAAGAAGAGAAATAGAACAATACAAGATTTATCACTTGTAAAAACATGATGTCACGAGATGACTTCAAAAAAATATGTTTTTTTAAACTGAGATTAGCTTAAACCTAGGTTTACTAATTTGATAGCACATGGACGGTAATTGATATTAAGAATAATGAGATATCATAAACTGAACTGATGTTAAAATATACACTGTTGATTCCTATCATATTGGTTGGGTGACATCGTCGTTGAATATTGAATTCCCTATTCAGTGTTGGCAGTGCAAAAATGAAATGTGTATTCATTAGTCTATGACTGTTCATATTCCATAAACTCATGACCGAACACATTCCCAAGATTGTAGACGAAGAACAACTAGGTTTCTAGTCATTATATTCAATAAGAAAGAAAATAGTTGAAAATTAACACCATCAATTCTTAAATCGTTAATTTTTACATCTGATTTAAAATTATTTTAACAATTCTCACATATTAAAGCACTTAATGTGTATGCTTGATAAATCGTTATTATCTGACTACTTTTTAAAACTATAATGTCACGTAACCACATACATATTATTTAAATGTAACTTTACATCTTAAGAATTGATACCATTTAAAAGAGAAACTATTTCAAGTCTGACGTTGTAATCAATGAAACTACTGATTACATTTAACTTCGATTACTTACTTACACCCGTTACCCCTAATCGAGCATAGGCCATCGACCAGCATTCTCCAACTCACTCTATCCTGGGATTAAATTTCAATCACAATATTTTATCTTATAATGTTACGCAACCTATCCTTATAATTAATAAATTTTAATATCAGATGGGTTTTTTGGATATTATAGTAATTTCAATGGTAAGATCATGAGTCATTTGAAGCTGGATCACCGTGGAAAACCTGGAAATACTGGACGGCCGTTTCGTCCTATTGTGGGACTTCTCATCAGTGCTCATCCACAACCTCGCCCTCTGCGAGATTCAAACCCATCTGATATTAATCAACATATGCTCACTAGTGACTGGCTTCATGAAGTATATCCTGGAGTTCTAGTGAGAAGTAGTAATAAATTTTAGTTAGATTTTATAACATTCAAATGTCTTAATAACAATACTTTCAAGTTTTTCTAAAAAAAATAGCAATAACATTTTTTGCTCTTCGGTTATTATTTTCAGTAAATTATAGTTAATAAAAGAAAAGATATGGATTATCGTTATGGTATCAGAATGCATTATGAAATGTACAAAATTCAGAATGAATTTGCCAAGAAGAATTTTTATCGTTTAACTAATATATTTTTGTTTTATGTCGTAATAAATGTTTTCAATTTAGCCCAAATTTCTATAGTGATTTACGTAAATTTGACTTACCTACCTTATTATGAGAAAATATCGAAATAAGTGGTCATCAGATATTAAGCATTTGCTGTAGTACAACATGTCTACAATTGAAAAAAGTCAAACGATCCTCAATAGCTCGAAAGATTAGTCTACATTATATCACAATTCACTAGATGTTGCATTATTAATTTTGGTATACAGAATAAAGGACAGTACTTTACATATCGAAGAATTATTATGTTAACATACTATTTAGATTTATATGGTTAGCGTCCGAATATTGACAACTTTCATTATTGATTTTACTTATTTAATTTATAATATCTTATTTCTATCCTAGTAATCATGTGTGTTTAGATTATAAGCATTGTTTTAAATGAACCTATTTCAAAAACCCAGATAAACCTAATCAACGATTATACACTGATTTGCTATTACTCAATCATTAATGTTGTACTCGTCTAATTCTCAATACATCTGGAATTCTATCGATCAAGTTGTGATAATCTTATTAATTTACATGGCTCAACTTCGCACATACGAAGTTTTTTTATTTCAAATATTTTCACACAATCTTGATGAATCTCAACCACATTGCAATTTAGACATGAATTTAGTTCCTAGTCATTGATCAATAAATGTATTTATTACTCGTACTGTGAGCTCTTAAAAGATTGAAGATACATCCTGTTAATGATGGAAAATATAAAAAAATTTTCGAAACATCTAAAACAATTAGTATTGAGTTTCACCGTTAATGAATACTAAACAAGAAAAATAAACTGATTGCCTCTACGGATTAATTATATAACTTACGCTTGTGCAGGACTTAAACCCAATACTTCACAAAAAGTACTAAACGTTATCTTTCCAGTATTTTTGGCATCAAATAATGATTTCCATTTCTAAAAGATAGTAAATCATCGAATATAAAGGGAACATGAAATACATTTGAAAAATATTTGAGTTTAGACCTGAGAAACAGTTTACTATAAATGAAAACAATTAACTAATGCATTATAATATACATATACAAATTATCAACTAAACACAATGAATGTTTATTATATCATTAAATTTTTGAATAGGAGTTAATCTTCTATTTTATCAAACTGACTTCATCAAGTCTTTTAGTACAAGTTGAAAATAATTTCTTTTGTAAACTGATTTTAATTGAAGATTTATTAAAACAGAAGTACCAAGTACTACATCAGTAGTTGCGTCCTAATCCAAAAGTACAAAATGATGGTACCCATCAAATTCGTTGTGCGATAATTATGCCAATGACGAAATTAGATGAAGATCACAGTATGTCATCAACTGAATTTAGATAGATCCACTAATTCAACCGTTTTATACTGTGATAAATGAAATAATCATCTTTAGTTAAAAAGTGTTAATCATTTCCTAGTTGTGACTTATTCTTAGTGTATGGTAATAGTGATTAATGATAATTATTTTCTCACAAAATTTATGACTATGGTTTGTATTAAGAACGTATTATATCACATCTGATATTATGCATTTCGCTTGAATCTTTTGCTCTGTGACCAATAAGCACTTACAGTAACTAATAGATTACTTTTTTTTCAAATAATATACCCAAACATATATATATATATATATATATATATATATATATACAATATAATAAAAACTATACGATTTTAACTAGTCTTGAAAATATCACAATGGTATTCATATAGCAAATAATTACTTAACACGAAACATTTATTTTGCCCTTTCTTTTGATCTGACATCTATTTTATCTAAATAAAATCAACGACTTCATTTTTGACAAAGACATTTACCAACATACTGTATTAGAAACATCTTTTATCTAGAAAAACAAATATTAAAAGTTGAGTTGAATTTTCAATGTCATAATTTTATATATGACAAGCACAAACTAAAACGTAGATAAGTATGAATCCAACCTTAACCCTACTCTACCGCTCGCCCCCCCCCCCGAAAAAAATGTAAATAATACTAATAATTGGAATAAATTATCTTTTTCTATCTACGTTTTTTATATTGTTACTTTCAATTTTAATAGAAAAAGACTAAAGAGAATGCAAATGGATTAGTTAATCATGATTAGAATACCAATTCACAATTCTTATTAAAAGTCTCATATAAGAAAGAATGATTGTTCAATAAAATACGTATTAATACAAAAAGTATGTATAAAATACTCAATTGTATTAAATATATTTTTGTAATTTTTTGAAGAGTAATTCAACAACGCACTAGAAACTATAATAAAGTTCAGTAACGGAGTTGCAAGTAATCGGGATAAAAATCGTGACATACATTTTAATCCAGTTAAAAATCATCATTAATGTATATTTGTAATATTTAACAATGTGATATTCATTACATTACTGAAAACCTGTCATACAGTATCACATGAAGTAATATTATTAGTGACTTGATCATTTTAAGACTAACAATTTGTAGAACTGCATAATGGTTACCGATTAGAACCAGAAAACATAACATTGTTGTTGCTAAGCTATTAAGTAATGTAAATAGTAACTTTCTATGACATTGTAATTATTACTGTAATAAATATTGAAATATTGGCCAAACATGCTGAAATAATTCTGATATGAAAAATATGAATCACTATGTTTCTACTGAAAATAAATTTCATACCATAATTGTATCCTGAAGAAACTGTAGTATTAATTACATTTACATCTAGTTTGTAAACAGTTCCACCGTTAATATTTATTGTTATGTTTTATAGACTTAATTATTCGAATGATTAACGAGGTCATTTCGTTTCAGAGTTGAATAAAAACATATTACATATATAGCCTAATTTCATAAGAGAATGGTTCAAATGAAATCGAGTTTCATTAATGGATCGATAATCAATGTCATAAGCAAGTGGTTATCAGGACTCAATAGCTAAGTGGACAACTCGATGGCATTTGAAGCGAACAGTACTGATTAGAGTCTCAGAGTGAACATCAACTCTGGGATGCAGGTACATCGAAATGACGAGTCTCAAATAGGATGAAACATGCATCCTGGATTCCACTGCTAGCTACTATCTATCTTTGCTTATAATGCTTGTGAATTAAGGGAATATTGAGGCATTACTCACAGTATGCACATATGCTAATAACAGACTGATCAATTGAAGTCTTAAATATCAATGGGGAGATTTAAGTAAAGAATACCAAGTGAATCTAATTTCGAATAATGTTTACTATCCATAATATGTGTGGCATATACATATATATCTGTAATTATTCTAAATCCTAGTGTTTTTTATCATATAAAGATGAAAATTGTTGTATTGTTAAAATACATAAATAGACGTAGTCAATCTATCAATCATTCATATAATGAAAAACTAATATAAACAAAAAACGTACTCTCAATACTGATCACATGGTTTTGACAAATGATGGATGAAAACCTACTTTTATTGTGAATAAGACTATAAAGATTATAAATATATATAAGACAAAAAGATGAGCAATAGAATGTGTCATATAAATCTATGTACCTATAAGATCTAACAAAATTTAGTCAAATTATAACTTGAGAGTTGACATTATGTCCAAAGTTCTACTAATATTTCTTTTATATAATCTTAATTGAAATGAACACGTATTTTTCTTAATAGGAACTTAATATACAATTTCAATACTTCCTTATATTAAATTAAATCAATCTATGTTAAATTATTTCTTTTTTGTTTGTTACTAAATAGAATGAATTAGGCAAGTATCCCAGAATGTTCAGTATCCATAGAGGTTTTGTTTTTCGTTTCTTTCTTTTTAGCTTTAAACAATAATTGAATAATAGAAAACTTTTATAGGGTTTCAAAAACTTTTGCATAAATATGTAATAAATTATTGATAAACTTACTGTAACCATCATTTCATCAAGATTATTATCAGCAACATACTTTTTCAATTCATCTATTGTGATAGTTTCAGTTCCATCTTTGTCAATAGCAAAGAATACTTGTACAAATGGTTCCATTTTATGCCTATTTAAACTCTTTGAAAGTAAAAATTGAGCAATGAACGAAATATTTTTATCTTTATCAACTAAACAGTTAAAAATAAAACAATAATTTAAATATAAGACATTTAATATTTATATATATGTTAATGAAAAATGAGATTTTCATGGAGTTTTGTTCTCTGAGCTGAATGGTTTAGTTGTGGAGGTTTCATCGTTCCTCTGAACGATATCATCAGCACAAACTTCAGGTAGAAGTGAAGTTTTCGAATTTCTCCATATGTGGTTCACAGCTTGTCTTGTACACCTCGATATCAACAAGAACTAATCAACATCGATGTGTACACGACAAGCTGTGAACCATATATGGAGAAATCCTAACACGTCACATCTGCCTGAAGTTTACGCTGATGATACCGTTCAGAAGAACGACGAAAGGTTCACGACTAAACCATTCAGCTCAGAGAACAAAACTCTATCAAAATCATCCACCTGAGCTACAAATCTTCTCGACCATCTCAAAAACAATGAGAAAATCAAGTTTGTTACAAAAGTGTTAAGTATTACCTTTAATGAATAATAATAATGAGTACACTGATAATTTAATGTCTTATATTGACATGAATTTCAATGCTTTTAATAGTAAAATGTAAATTAAAGTGTACTATAGGAATAAATGAAATACATTTTATAAAACCAATCAACAAACAATACGCGCACACACTCACACAAACATACGTATCTAAATTTCTATAATTATATGGATGGTATGCATATATCATGTATATTAGTACAGTTAGTTAAAGGGATCCCAACTATAAAAGCATATCTATTTACTGGAAAATAATAAATTATTAATGATAAGAAAATGAAAATCGAAGAATTTATTGAGCAGAGGCCATAGAGACTAATCAACCAATCAAATTAATTTATCATGATTTCACTATACTATAATTTTCTTTACTTTTTTTGTGTATAATAACTACACACATATACATTCACCATAAAAATACACAAATATACCTGTTCTTCTATACACAGCACATCACTTATCAACTAAGTAAGTGATCTAGAAAAAAGATTACAATCTTAGTTTATCTCAATTATGATATTTTCAAACTTAATCAAAATTGTAATAAATGTAATCATTATTATGAATAAGAATAATAATAATTCTTATACTAATGAAGATGTCATCTTGTTGTAAAAATGTAAAATAATTGTTATATAATTCTTTTGAAGTATCATCGTCATCTCTATATGGTGATCAATGTTTCAACTGAAAAAGGATAGAATGATTCAATAATTTGTTTCATTAATAGTACTAGATTAAGAACATCATTAAAGAGTTACATTTTACATTTTCTAAAAAATAAATTAACTTGGATTTCAAGTTAGTAAATAACAGCTAATTCTTTGTGATATCCAGATATTATAGTCTCAAAATGTTTATCGTTTATCTTGAGAAATGGGTACTATTTAATTACATCAAATTCCCCCCCCCCATCTGTGAAATGAGTAACCCTGACTGTTTGAGAAAATTATTGGAATGAGTAATTGAATTGATAATTTGCTCATGAAATAGTTACTTCAACCTTCAATCAATTCAGTTTTAGGACTTTCATACCATCGTCCTTTATACAGAAATTCCAAGAAGTGAAAACAAAACTCACTTACTTCACTAAATTTCTTTATTCAATCGCGACATAAAAACAATTGCACCGTATCTTTGAAGGCGCAGGCTAGAATATAGATGATGTACAAAGGCATCAGGATCCTGTGGAAACAAAAAGCGTATGAACCTATTCTTAAGGGATTGACAATGATAATATTGGATTTAAACACCACAAAGTATTACAGATTTTGGTTTTGTTTTATCGAAAAACAGCCTTACATCCAAACAAAACATAAATTGGCGTTACAGGGTGCGACAGTATGCAATACAGCCTGAATTCGGGCCCAGCAATTACTCGTCATACTAATGTTCGATCAACCTGAATAGCGAAAATCATAAGACTAGACTATGAAGAAGGTTTTACTATCGAAGGCTGAATGATAAGTTTCTTCTCATGAGCATTTGTATATAGATCGACTGACATTGTTAGGGATTGGTGAACACTTACCTTGGTTATATTATTATTCCACGTGAATGATATAGCTAAGCCAAACTTGGATTTGACTTAATATACTTCGTATGACATTTTGCTAAGAATTCAGCTAAAAAATCGAGATTCCTCTACCATAATCCATTGAAATTCCTGTTATTTTTTAAGACAGACATTGTTTACATTCACTGGTCACTGCTTTTCACAAAAATTGAGAGTTTCCTCTTGAATTTATTCACTATAAGCACACGGTTATTAGCAAACGATGCATTTAGAGATTGTTTAATACGTAAATTACCTTATAGACTAAATCTAGCCCGATAACACCTGAAAACCTCACTGTACTGGACAACTGTTTTGACCTTATATAGGTGAAAGATAGGTACCACTAGTGGCGATAAATGGCGGTCAACAGTGCCAACATCTAATCAAAGTTAAAAAAAAATTAATCATTGTAATCAAACCTAGTGATCTAAAGTTTAAATAGTTGCTGAAATCTCTGAATGTGTTCGATACTTGATAGGTCTATGAAACATCGCCCTCAAATGCTCCGGCACGGTCGAGAGAGTCCACTCTCCCTCTCAAAATGTTCTCACATGGACACGCGATACAGCCACTGTCAGGGAAGTCCTGCTCACTAATTTCTCGCGGCTAGATTATTGTTCATGAAATTAAGAAGACCAAAACCGAATATTCAGGGCTTAAACCGGGTTAATGGGTACGAAGGATTCACTTAGGAGATTCGGAAAACCCTGGTGTACAAAGACTTTAGGATCCTGAGGAAACAAAAAGCGTATGAACCTACTGTTGGTCACTGACAACCACTGAACTGCATCTTCTAACGTTGCTACAATACTTTGCAGATTAGACCTCTAGGTTAAAGCCTCGAGGGGTGGCAACCTAAGAAAACTACCCGCTTACGTTTCAGCACCCAGGTAGTATCCTAGATCACACACAAAACGAATGATGATTACAACTGGCAGAAATTATTTTCGCATTCAAATGAACCGCATTTACAATCACATGTTTTTATTTTTTTATATCCATACTAAGGACTCTGGTGATGTACTAGAAAATCACTCTTCATCAGTTGCTTTTAAAAGCCTGTTTCGCGTGAGTTATTCTTACAGTTTAACTGGTCCGCTGCCCCTACGACATCGATCACACTGTCCTACTCTCCGTGGCCTATGACGACTGAACTATCTAGTGGGATGGAGGTCCACCAGGAACTTCAATTACCGACGAAGATTGATATACTTATCAACCGACTTAACACACTTACCTAGCGAACTATACTTAATTTCAACGTAAACGATTGAGCAATCTAGTGTTTTTAGGTCCCTACCTATTTAGTTGAACAATTTTCGTCTTATACACTTAACTTACGCCTGTTACCCTTCGTGAAGGACTATAGGCCACCAATCACGATTCTCCGACGAATTCTATCCTGGGCAATCCTTCCCAGTTGCTGTTTATTATTTTCATGTCTCCCTCCAATTCCTGATGCAATAGGTTTCTTGGTCTTCCTCCTTTCCGTTCCCCTTCAGGATTCCAAGCTAGAGCTTGCCTCGCGATGTAGGTTGGCGATTTCAACAATGTATATCCTATGCACTAACGACGTATTTTCCTAATTCCCTCTTCTGTTGGAATTTGGTTTGTTCTCTCGAACAGTAGGCTGTTACTAATGGTATCTGGTGAACTGACGTATAGTATCTTGCGTAGACAATTGTGTTATAACTTGCGACTGAAGATTAGACGGCAACGAATTATCGATCGGACCAAGGACGCGTAAACACGTGCGAGCGACCTAGAGTCTGATTAGCCGTGCTTCCTTGTCTAGCTCAGCCAGTTTAGTCCAGAACGCAAGTCCCAGCCTCTGAGATATGAATCGTTATATTTCAAACATACTCTGTATATATACCAGTCAAGCAGACCACATCGTACCATAAAATAGAAAATAACATTTGTACAATATTTGGCCAACAGGAAAATGACACGTGAAATAAGTATTGAGAAGTAGGAAAAATGATACCATCTCAAGTCCAATGATAGCGTTAGACTTAACAGAATAATTTTTGGGATATTTTCCTGAATATCCTAACAAATTGTTGATAAATACTTGTAAATTTTTGATGATATTTGTAGTAGTTATTCACGTTTCAGCTGCGTACAGTAGAACTGTCTTGATTTTCGTATTGAAGATTCTGACTGTAATGTTGGTCGACAGACAGTTGTTTTGTATTCCATATGTTCTTCAATTGTAGGAATGCTGTACTCACTTTACCAATACTTACCTTCACATGTGCATCAGATCCTCGTATTTCATCAATGATACTCACCAAGTATGTGAAGTTTTCCATCTGTTCCAATGTTAATGTTATAAAATCTACAAATGAATCATTTGTACATTGCATCGATTCATTTACTTTTTCATTTTTAATTATTATGAAAAATACTTTACATACCATTTTCATTTAATAAGAATACAAAAGATATAATTAATTTAATAGATCATAATCATATGCTTCATTTCGAATCATTATTAATTTTCATTGCTATAATAAGATTTTATAGAAAATTTTCTCTTTGAAGTGAATAATCATTTCTATGATTAAGTAACAATTTTTCTTCTTTTTAAAAATATTCACAATTATTTGGCACACATATTACTTAAAGTTGAATAAACCTATAAACAATTACTTTCTTATAGTTACAATTCATATGGAATGTAATAAATGAAAAATGATTGATTCACTGTCAATGGATCAAGTTAATTATCATTTATCATAGTCTCTCTCTCTCTCTCACTCTCTGTTTCAATGGTCATTTTCGAAATAAGTAGAATAGAATATTAGAAAATACATGTAAGTAATATCATTGTATTAAACATTATCATATATGAAATATTAAAAGAGAATACTTTCTTATAAAGTATATAGTAATAATAAAATACACAGAATATATGGTCTCAACATTTATTCATAATTCACTATTATTATTATTATTATTATTATTATTATTATTATTATTATTATTATTATTCTTGTTATTCTCTTTCTATGGGTAATTGCAGTATAAGTTTAAGAATTAGCGCCAGTTATTCATTTTTAAAAAAAATATTATTAGTGTATTTAAACAATTTAAGATAATATACTATTTCATTTATATTCTAAACATAAGTTCATGAATATTGTAGAATTGTAGATAAATATTAGAGTAGTATAAATGATCTATAAATTTCGAAAGGAAAAATAAAACACAATAATTCATTAATATTTGAATGAAAATAGTTCTTATCATGAACTGATATCTAGCTGAAGGATCAATTAAAAGCCAGAGATAAGTGAAGTATTATTTCATTAAAGTTTAAAAGTCTTATATATTACTCAACATTAATTGAATAATAGATTTGACCTAAATTATTCAAGTCATAAGATAGAGAATAATAATAATAACAGTCATTGTTGGACAATGAATAGCTGTATAGCTCAGATTGGTGATGATCTTGGTGAGCGATCTTAGTACCATTTGAAAATCTCTGTAAACCATCTATACTAGTAAAAACATAATTAACAAGCAGAATTATTGTACGATATAATGTAAAAACATCATTATTCCCAATAAATTATTTTATTCATATACATTTAATAGACATATTTATCAGTTAGTTACATTTATAACTGAATCAATAATTAATAAAGTGTATCATGAACATTCTATTTTCTTTAGGATTGCCTAATTAATATCAGAAGAGTTTTCCTTGGATATTATAGTAATTTTTAATAGTTGAGATCATGAGTCAATTAAAGCTAGACCACTATGGAAAACCTGGAAGCACTAGACGGCCGTTTTGTCCTATTGTGGGATTCCTCGGCAATACCCATCCACGATGCCGCCTCGCGACATTCGAACCCAGGACCTATAAGGGTCTAATTAATTGAGTATTTTTAATTGCATCAAGAAATACGAAGCCTGAGATAAGAATTTATGTTTTCTTACCTAAATAAACTTTCAAACAATAATAATGAGCTTGACGGATCTGTGCGAAAATTAATCGAATTTGTATGCGGTATTTCTTTGTATCAAACCGTACGATACACAGGATTTATGATAACAAGTGTATTGATATGTCGGTACAATTCCTATCACCAATTACCAAAAAATCAACTAACTGTTGGAGTGATCCAGAAAATTTCTTGCAAAAGACAAGCAAGAATCAGGAAACTTTGCCATCGATGACATTCTGGAAACAGCTCTGATGGATGTCAGTAATGGTGGTGTAGATCTGTTGCCTGGAGAAAGACTCCTCGACCTTGAGTATGCGGATGATATTGTCTTACTGTGCGATAATGCCCAAGACATGCAATCCGCACTTAATCAGTTGGCAATCAATGTCCGTAGGTATGGTATTTGCTTTGCACCTTCGAAGTGCAAAGTACTTCTACAAGACTGGCAGGATTCTAATCCTGTACTCACCCCGGATGGTGAGCAGATAGAAGTACTCGACAAGTTCGTGTAGCTGGATAGCTGCATAAGTGCTGGTGGTGTGAGTGATGAGATCAATCCACGAATAGTGAAAGCCAGAGCGGTTTATGCCAATCTGGGCCACCTTTGGCGCCTTCGTGATGTTAGTCTGGCTGTAAAAGGTCGGATCTACAACGCGTCGGTGAGAGCAGTTCAGCTCTATGCTTGTGAAACCTGGCCTCTCCGAGTTGAGGACGTTAGACTACTCTCTGTGTTCGATCATCGTTGTCTCCAAAGGATTGCTGACATCCAGTGGCAACACCATGTCAGTAATGCAGAGGTTCGGCATCGTGTGTTCGGGCACAGAGACGACAATTCAATTGGTGTCACCATCTTGAAACACCGACTTCGGTGGCTTGGACATGTTCTACGAATGTCGTCCCAGAGAATTCCACGTCGTGCATTATTTGCCGACTCTGGGACTGGTTGGAAGAAGCGGAGAGGTGGTCAGTGTATGACATGGTGTCGTGGTATGAAAGAAAGCTGCAAAGGGCTGGCTTCTGTCGGTCCTTTACGACTACCTGGTTGGGGTCCCAGAGATAGTGCGACACAGTGGCTAGAGACGTTATCAGATATGGCTCAGAATAGAAGCCAGTGGCGATCCTGCTGTATTCTTCGTTTACTTTTTTCATAAAAATGTGGTTGTGTCTCCCTTAACTGAAAGATTTCTTCTGATTGTACCTTTCCGTCCCCTCATTATTACTATGATTATTACTACACTACCTTACACCAATCTCCTCGTTGTTGTTCTCTCTTTTTTGCGCTCCTTAGTTTTTTTTTCTATTTCTCTTCGAATTCTCATTGTTTTGTGTGGCGCATATATATTTGGTGCCCTCTTGTACCAATATTTATGTGTACAAATAAATAAAGAAAGAAGCGTTTCATCCAATCAGCATTCACTTGAAGTTTTAGCCAAAAATATCAAGGAAGTGTAACGTCACATATAGAGGTTCTGATTGGCTGATTGATATACTGCTACTATGTTAAGTAGCATTCCAGAATCTTCGAGCAGCCCAAGGACATTTAAAAATATTATAAAAACCCTATATTTTCTGTGTTAAAATGAACCTTGGTGTAAACTACTTCTCGCATACTTTGCGTCTTCTCTCTCGTTGTTCAGGTCACTGTATAGTTCTAGCTTGGGGGTTACAGAATAGCTTAGGAAACGAATATAGCGTTCAATTTTCAAGACTTATCACTAACTACATAAAGTTAAATGATCTTTAAAAAAATTATTTCTTACTAACGGATAGCCCCCCCCCAGAGTAAAAATGTGAAAATACTATCATCTAGTGACTGTTTTTATACTGTTTATTAAATAAACACATTTATTTTATAACAGTAATATACGTGAATGTCTCAAATAATACACAATTCTTCAAGGAGTGTCTACATTACAAAATAAAGTATTACCAGTAAACAAATTAATAAATAAATAACCACTGCATAAACATAAATAAAAACATACTAACAAAATAAACAAAATCAAAGTCTTTTTTTGGTGATACGGATGATAAATGAATAAGGTTAGAGTCAGTAAATGGGAAGTGAAATAGTACTGTGAAAGGAAACCGAAATCATGCATCATGCTAATGATCTACTTCATCATAATTATTTATTTCGTTTTGTCGGCATTATAAAAACAATAGATTATAAATTTTCTTCCTTATCAAACTATTCTATTTATTCATGTCATTATTATTAGAATGACTGTAGTGTGATACATTGATTTCGAAAATCAATTTTTTTGGTTATATATAAATATATACTCTCAGGTTATAATTCAGTTCTATCCACTTAAACATGCAATGATCCAACATTGCTTACTGACTGATAGATTATCATCATTAGAACATATTGAAATATGATGGAACATTTGGATCTGATAAGAATCTATTTTATCACTTGTAATCTTGTGAAAGAAAGAAAAAAATTATTAAAGAGAAACTATATTAGTTGTTGTCACCGTCATCATTATTATCATTAACTATCCACTATTCGTAATTTTTTTTTACGTTGATGTAAAAATAAACGAGTAGAATATAAAAATGACAACGAGACAATGTAGAATAATTAAATATTTGTTGGTTCATTCGTTTTCATCACAAAGAAAAAACTTTAAAAAAAAAATGAATAAAGATAATTAATTTAAATAAAAACCAATTTCTTTTGTTGCTTGTAATAAACGTGTACGTAATTCTTTCTCGGATTGATATTCTGGTAATTTTAAATAATGTACACATGTATTCACACTAGGATATGGTCCACTATTTGTTATTTCTTTGCGTACAATTCTTAAACGTGGATGTAAATTTTTTAAACCACCTGGTGGTAGACTAGAACAACCAGTAGTAAATTGTAAGAAAGCACGACGTTCAGATGAATTAAAATTACATAATACATTAATTAACATTTGATATGTTGGTGATTGTTTAGTAAAACCTAAACTTGGTACTGTATACGCAAGTAGATCTTCACGTGTCCAATGAACTACTGAATCCCCAGCAATTAATTCACCTAATTCTGTGCCAGTAAATAACGCTAACCAATGAAGTGGTAATACACGCTCAAAACCATCTACAAAGCAAAAATAATTTTAAAAAAAGAGAATAATATATCATTTTAAATAAAAAAAGATTGTAATGAATATATATTTAAAACAATTAGTCCCTTTGATAAATTCCGATAATGATAATCTTCGTCTTCTAATATCATTATCGGAATACATATTTGTTATATCTTAATGGGCAGATATATCGTATTTTTCATGTTTCATGACTTAATGAAGCCACTTCTTCAGAGTACATAAACAGCCGAATTAAATTAACACAAGTTTAAATAGTACAAAGGAAACAATGCTGAGTATTTTTAGTATAATTAAAATCACAATAGGTTTGAATATGTTGATCTGTTCTTGATCAAAGTGAATTTGTATGTATGTATGTATTAATTTTTTGTCAGAATGAAAAATGTACGTATTAGTAATATAAAGTAGTGGGTTAAAGGTGTGTCCGACTGTGTGTAAATATAATAAATAAGGTCAAGAGTAATTGTCTGGATAAACAGTCCAGATTGGATGAATATTCATGACTTCTTTCCATCGAACATTGAAAGGCGTACCACAGAAGTACATAAACCTTGTGAAGGCTCTCTACTCGAACACTACTAGTCGAGGCAGAGCTCATGGCGAACTTTCATCTGCTTTCGCAACCTCAAGTGGTGTCCGTCAAGGCTGTCCACTTTCTCCATTTCTGTTTAACTTCATCATATACCTATTGATGGAAATAGCATTCTCGTCTACTGAATTCTCGGGTATTGATCTCCTACCAGGAGGTCCACTTATCGACTTAGAATACGCAGATGATATAGTCCTGTTTGGTGAAGACGCTGACAAAATGCAGAGTCTTTTGGTAGCACTAAGCAACAATCCCAGAATGTTTGGAATGCGCTTCTCTCCCTCTAAATGCAAGTTGTTGCTTCAGGACTGGTCTGTGTCAACACCTGAACTAAGGATTGGGAGTGAAGTAGTCGAACGCGTCGACAACTTCACTTATCTTGGAAGTCTGATCAGCCCTAATGGGTTGGTGTCTGACGAAATCTCAGCACGGATTCGAAAAGCTCGTTTGACTTTTACCAACTTACGTCACCTATGGCGAAGGTGAGATAACCGTCTATCAATAAAAGGACGCGTATACTGCGCGGCAGTCCGTTCTGATTTAATTTACGGCAGCGAAACATGGCCATTAAGAGTAGAAGACACTCATAAGTTACTAGTATTTGACCACAGATGCCTTAGAAATATTGCTGGCGTCTGTTGGGATCACCGGGTAAGTAATAGTGAAGTTAGACGCAGGGTATTAGGGAATGATGGTAAATCAGTTGATGAGGTTGTGAATCTTCATCGACTGAGATGGTTGTGATACGTGTTACGTATGCCCGAACATCGAATAACACGACGTGCAATGCTAACCGGTGTTCGAGATGGTTGGAAGAAAGTTAGGGGCGACCAAACCAAAACGTGGCATCAGTGCTTGAAGTCACTAACTTGTGGTCTGAGCCATGCTGGTAGATGCAGACTACTTGGTTAGGGTCCGCGTGACTATCGTAACCAATGGTTGGAGACTCTTGGTGACATGGCTCAGAATCGATCACAATGGCGTCGCTGTATACACTATCTGTCTTCCCTTAAACTAAGAGATTAAAATCGCTTCATATCTTTCTTTCTACGAACTAATTCTTTCTTCCTGTACTATATCCTTATTGCAATCATTCTTTTATATATTACCACCTCTGAATTAACTACTTTTATGAATGCGATGTCCATCTTGTTGTGTTAATGAGGTATGGCAACTTGGACCGATGCATATATTTGCCTGGTCCTACGTTGTAGGTAACTGACTGACTTCTTCCCGTTTGAGGGCAGAGGGATTCAGCATAATGTGGAACGCTTCAGCTAGTCGCCTCTCTTTGTAATTCGGAAGGCATGTCTGGATTATTTTGATCTTTTCATATCAATTTGGTGATTATTGAAAATAGAGTGTACTGCCATAAACATAACGGAGTGTTAAAGAGAGTGGTTGGATCCAATTCATGATGGATAATATATAGATTAAATTCATTTGTTGTTGTTTGCTTGTATCTTCCCATTGTTGTTTAGGACTTTAATTGATCAGTCTCTTGTTGGTATATGTGCATCCTGTGCTGAGTGCCTCGATATTGTTTAAATCACAAGCTTTATAAGCAACTCTGGAATACCGGTACATCCAGCTGACGAGTCCCAGACAGGACAAAACGCGCGTCCCTGATTTCACTGCTAACCACCATCCATCATTGCTTATGAAGCTTGTGACTTAAGGTAATATCGAGGCAATCAGCATAGGATGCACATATGCCAATAACAGAATGATCAATTGCAGCCCTGAACAACAATGGGGAGATACAAGCAAACAACACCAAATGAATTTGAATTATATAGTATCCATCATGAATTGAATTCAACCACACTCTTCAGCACTTTCTTGAGTAGGATGGAAAAGAGTTATTTCGTGCTTCTTGAGTTCCAGTGTATCTTCTCAAACCATTCTCTACTTAACAATAAACAACGTTTTATGTGTATTTTTCTTCATATAACCTAATAGAATGGTTATCAATGGTAAACACTTCATTTTTTAAGCTCTCATAGAAATCAAAGTACAAGTACGCAACCGTTATGAAGAAGTGACTGAGTGATTCAAACGTTCTATTTCTAACCACTAAACCATCCGTTAGAATCCAATGTCTCTCATTTCAGTTTGGGAACCAACATCATTGCATCACTAAGCCTCAAAACCAAAGCATGGCTCAAAGTCGATAATATTAGTCAGTACTTAATAAATAATTGATGATAATAATAATAATAGTGAAAAATTAATGAAAAATAATGCAAAATTATACCTTTGAATGCATCCAATTGTTTACGAATACCTTTATCCAGACAAAAGCCTAATGTTAATTCTAAATATTTTTCAATATTATGAATTGAAACAGGGACAGCAGATTGTGAGTTCTCTGCCACATTTTTATACAATGATTCTTCTGTAGAATTATTAGTAGTTCTTGGTATTGTCGTTGTTGCTTCCCAATGATAAACATCTTTCAATGGATAAGACGAAAATCCGAAAAGCTAAACAAAAAAACATGAGTAAAATTAGGAAAAAAATTAAGTGATGTATACTTAAAAGAGACATTTAGTGTGCTTAAACACTAGATAGTTACAGATAAGCGATAAAAAACCCTGAACCTATGTTTAGTAAAGGATTGGATACACCACAGTGAAATGAAAATTATATATTTATGTATGCTGACTAACTTGTACAACCACAGACAAAATGAATCGATCAAATTTGAAGAACTTCAGAGTGCCATGATACCTACATCCATTAGAAATTAAAAGACATACTGATGTATATTCATTCGTGTGGTCAGAGGTCACTTCATAAAATAATTTGCTGTTCGTCTGAGCCATGTTAGTAAGTTTGAATTATCCGGTTGGGGTCAGTTAGATAACCGCGATCAGTGGTCGCAGAATTTCAGCTACATGGTTCAAAACTGTTTACAATGGTCCAGATGCATTCACTTTTTATTTTCCAGTGGATCGTGAATTGCGGGATTTCATCACACGTACTTTTACGCTGTGTATTCTGTCAAAACATGTTCTAAATGTTCACTTCCCATTATAACTGTCATTAAATCACATTACTACCTTATAATTCATCGTAATAGTTTCACATAGTTGTGCTTATACGGTAGTGGCAACTGTAGCAAACGCACACGAGATAATCAATAGGTATACAGAAAGATATACGAAGATAATGAAATCAACAGACGAAACTAATGACGGTCAGGCGAATGGACTTAGAACATGCAGAATGACCGAAAAGCTCACTTTTATTTGAAATATGAGTGTTGATGGTGTTGTTCAATTGAACAGTGAAAGCTAGGAATCCTTAAGTGCACAAATACAAGACTGAGGTTGTTGGAAATACAGGCTTCCAAAATTAGTTCATTGATTTTCTATGCATATACTGAAAAACTTCGACTCTATGTGAATACATTACTGACTGATGAAGTAATCATTCTGATAAACATTCATTGTAATATGATAAGGTGACATTATTCAAGTAAAAGCTTTTTGTAACAACTCTTTATGAATTTTGGCCAGAGCAATTGGTGTAAACTTTGCTTAGAGTGGGATTTTGAAATCAATATTCTCTTGTATCAATTTAGTATAAATTTTAATCTACATGTGACCAATATTTATTGTTTTTTACAATAACTGTACGTATCTCCCTACGTGTGAAAATCAGTATTGTGGTCAAGCATGATGTGATTTTGACACTTTTTTGAGAAGTGTATTACGGCAGTCAATAAAGCTTCATTGCACCAGTCTTTAGTGTTCCTAATTTGAGTTGTGAGAACTGTAGTGGTTCCCTTTAACCAATATATAAGCAGTAGGATTGAGGAATTGTAGTGATCCCCGGATGTCAAGTAAAAGCAGTAAGACGACAAACCGAATAAACTCGATATGTACATAACAGCGACGACTCAAAAGATATAACAGCTAGCTACCCAGTTCCAACAGTGCCGACGTACCCGAATTTCCCAGTTATAACAGTGTCGATTCCTGGATATAACACACTGCAACTAGCATTTTAACTAGTACCTTGTTAATATTTTCATTTCTGTAATCAATCATTTTTCTGTTTGGTAATAGATACCAAGATAACTTAATCTCGCTAAGATTAAAGCAATATGATAGGTGAAAAGAAACAAAATGAGAAGAAAAATGAATACATTACTTTCAGCAATTTACCTTAGAAGATGGAAGAAATTCCATAGATAAACAAAGATCGGTAAGATCACAACCAAATATTTCAACAGCTAAATCATTAATACATTTATCATTTGTATTTCCAGTTGATATCGTAGATTTACGACGATGAAATTCCGCTACTTGTTTCAAAAATTGTGCACGTTCCGGATAAATAATACAAAAATCATTTAAGTTTAACAGACCTGAAATCCAATGTGTTGAGGATTGTAAGTTACTATTATTACTGTTCTGAACAATGGATCCACAACATTGATACAATCGTTTATATTGTGGACTGATAAGAAATGACGCTAAATTAAACTCTTCATCATCATTTGGATTGAACTTATTTTTAATAAATTGACTATTAGTAGTATTAGTAGTAGTAGAAGTTAATTGATTTCTTAAATAAGAATAACCATATAAAACATTTTGAAAAGCACTTTCAACATCTGAAAGAACAGAGAAATCCACATTATTGGTTGTTTTAAAATTGTCCAATGAACAAGTTGCAGAATGACATTTTTCCAAATCATGATTATCACAGTTGTGAGTGTTGACAACACTACCGTAAGTAGAAAGAAGTTTCAATAATGGTGCAGACAAAGGCAAATCAATACGACGATTATCCTGATGAGTGTATAAATAATGAAAATAAAATTTTAATAAGATTCTAAATATTATGAAAATAAATAAATGGATTTTATCATTATTTTCTTGGAGAGGAGGGTTAAAGCATATCACGAACTGATGTCATATCAATGAATCATTATAGACCTTGAGAGTAATGGATAGTGCTGTTGTGAATATCTTAGCAATTATACATCAATCAACCAGAGAACCATCATTACTAAAATTTCTAGAAGGTGAACTGGGATAGAATAGTTTGTTTCAAAGAAAAATTGAAATTATACGACCAGCCAGCAAAACAAAGGGAGTGATGGATTTATTGGTGTAATTTACCATGTTTAAGGTCAATTACTTATTATTAAAATCTAATGCTGAGTACAATGTCTGAAATATTTAGTCAATTTATTAATAGAAATATGAAACTGATCATAAACTGTTATTAAGTAAAGTAATGTGTTATGCCCTTTCGTTCGATTCAGTGTAAAATGAACACATCCTAAACCTTGATTTACCGTTTACTCAGAAAAAACAAACTGAACAATACTTAGGAAGCTTTACGCATTTAAAAATTTATTGTGAAACATTCTAGAAAGGTTTAATAACACAAATAATAAGTGGATATAAAGTTTAATTAGTCTGTTTATCAATCCACTACATTTTCCATTTAAGATTTCGTAAATCGAAGAAGGTTAGATACATTTCCTTCCAGTTTATCTCACCCCTAAGATTGAGAAAACTGTTTAGAAAATGTATGTGTGCGTTAAACTTGAGCTTTAACTTTTCCAATTCGAATTTCCACTTTAAGTCGACAGATTAATCTAACAGTTTAGTGCAGAATCAAGGTCTTTTCAGAATTTTAAAATAATTATTGAAATGGTGTGATGAGAAAACGCACCCCTAGACATTTTGGAGTCGACATCATTGGACAATGAAAGCTTTCTTTGTATCCAATTTGTTCTATTACTTTGAATCAGCCCTGGAAATCTTTCATTCATTTTAAAACCGAACATGAAGTGATAACTTTTTATTCATCTCATATTTTGTTATTCATTTCCCTAGCTTATACTTCCAGTTATCCCTTTATAATTATTTGATAATGTATTTAATTAATTGTTATTAGTTTTTACATATAAATGCATTCACGAGTAAATGTATTATCTGACTGTTTGAAATGTATTATTGTGCAAATACATAAACATTTATTTTATGATTAGCTTTGCCATCGTATTACACAAAAAAAATCATGGATATATTATCTATAAGAATACATATTCGTATCCCTTTATTATAATATTGGAAGTTATGTTAATGAAAAATATGGTGATTAAAAGAAATAAACTACAGAGAACATAGAAGAAGGTACGTAATCATATATTCAAAGAATATTCATACAAAAACTTATTATTGACTGACTCTTTCGTTGATCATTTACCGCATAAATCTACTAAATGTTTTAAAATCTTACTAAAATTGGCAAAATATTAAAATTAGTGAGAAAAAATCCACTCAACAATAAGATAACAACAAATTCAAACAATAAGATCATTTACCTGAAGGCATTTTGCTACTGTTATTCCTAAAATGAAGAAGCGATAAAGAACTGATTCTGGAACTTGATCTCCTGGCCATGGAGCTGGAAACAATCCGTAAGGTGTGTTCACATATATATTTGCCTCATCAATGTCATCTATTTCGTTACCAGAAGAGTTATGTTGCTCTATAGTTGCTGAGCTAGAAACGGTGGGTAGAATTGAATGACTTTGAGTTAACTGCTCACTAGTCATTGTAAAATCATTTGTGACCCACATTAAGCCATCACGTCGACGAAGTTCGGCAGCCAAAAGTGAATAAAATTCTAAAGTCGGACCTAAGCCTGTGCCTTCCTCGCCTATTTTTAAAAGATGAAACATAAAAACGAGAACGGCAACTGAATAACTACTGTTCTCTAAAAGTCATAGATTAAATACTGTCATTAATTATAAATATAAGCCAATCTGAACAAAAAAGAAGCAGAAACTTAACTTCCAAGTGAATTACCTTAAAATATATCATTAAATCACAAGGATATTTTGCATACTCTCAAATAGTACTAAGATAACAAAATTCAAACCATTACAAAGTGAGAAATTGCTAAACAAAAACAGTGGTAGAGGAAATTTATTCAACCTGAAATAAACGTGACATTTCAATAGATTCGATAGGTATTTAATTTCCAAAATTGAATTCACGAGTCAATCCAAGCTAGACTGTTACTGAAAACGTGGAAGCACTGTACGGCCGTTTTGTCCTAGTATGGGACCCATAAGTGCGCATCCATAGTCCCACATGTGCGACTCGAACAAAGGACTTTTAGTATCGCGTGCAAACGCATAACCTCTAGACCACTGAGCCTAAATGACGATTAAAAACAATCTGGAGAAAGCCTCAAATCATCTCAAGACAATAACATAATTATGGCGTAAGAATTATATCTGAAATTTCTCAACTACATACAAAATAATATTCTATTAAATATGTGACCAATAAAACGATTTATTGGTGGTTGAAGCATTTCACTTACAACTTTAATATTTCACACTATCTACCCGTTCAGGCCACTAGGAACATATAATCTGATTCCTTTATTAAATAAACTAACCAACTATCAATTTGGTTTATAGTAGTGTTATTATTCATATTTGTACATAATGTTTTATAAAATGTAAGGTTTGTAACAGATTTACAGAAATGAAATTTTTTGATTGAGATCATGAAATGAATAATGTTAGACCACCGTCGGAAACGTATAAGCAATGGACAGACGTTTCGCCCTATTGTGGGACTCCTCAGCAGTGCGCATCCACGATCCCGCTCGTGGGATCGGTACATGATCTCAATCAAAAACTTAGTAATCTTCACAACTCCTATACTGACAAATGAAATTATCAGGTTTACAAGTAAATCGAGTAAAAAGTTGTTTGTAGATATTTTAATGCAAATTATTCTAATAATAAGTACCCTTAACCAGAATCAAAAAGGTTAATCAATGTTAACCAATTGTTAATACTACTCTCACTATTTTTTATTTCCAGCAGAAAGTCACTTAAACATTAAATTAAATACTACAAACGATATATCTTCCATAAAACTTGTAGCATTCTAAAGATGACTGAAACAAGGTTTTTTTCCCCGTCGAAAAACTGAGTAAATAATTAGTAAATATGCCCCCTATCAATTATCAGATGACAAAATCGCCAATTCGACTACCGACTTGTATGACCTTGTTCTTGTGCCGAACAAAAAACATATCAAAACAGCACTAGCAGCCTTTCGTCAACACTGAATCCTTATTCATTCTTCTCGCCTAACACTACCCGTTGAATTCAGTAAGTAATCTCAACCTCTACGGTATAATTCGCATATTTCAGACATACTTGGTTTATGTATAAGCAAAACAGCCTCACAGCAAGAAAAATAAAAATTATACAAAATCAAACCAAAAGTGGTTTTGAGTGTGGGATACGGTTACTGATAAATTGCGAACAAGTTAGGAATGGTGAATCGTATAAAAGGGGCCAGTAATTCAAATAAAAGCTTTTGGCAGAAGGTACATATATATATATAATCCAGTTATTTAATAGTTATCCAAAAAGAATATATGTAATAATAGTCCATATATAAATCCTAGCAGTCATAATTCATTTTTTCTTCGTCTGGATATAAAAAGAAATCAATAATTTGCAACCTTAGAAAAAATACTGCCAAGATATCGTATGGAATTCAAACTTATCTGCCCTCTTGATAAATAAATGTGATCGCTGGAAAATTCCCATTATATTAAAACACAATTGTATGAACGAAGAATATTCTTTTCAATAATTTCTCATCAGGTTCTACAATTATAAATCCAAAATAATAATCCATAAAATTGGCCAGATTTAAAGCAGAGTATATCATTTGGAAATTGTAATACGTGAATTAAGAATTGTTGTTTGTTATATAAAAGCAATTCAGATCGTTAATGTTGGGGCCGTTTAATATAAAGTGTTAACTTGAATCAGTTTATAAGCGAAATGAAATTGTGCGATAAATAATGATCAGAATAAATATAGTTAACATGTGGTGAGAGAGAAAATGATGGAATAAAAATCGGAAATTACGTAATACGTAGAATAATATGAATTAGGTCAGATATAGTAGATTTAGGGGTGGATACTGAATATATCGGCAGTAAAATGAAAACGTATCGATCTCTTGTGTTAGTGGGCCGTTTACTAATTTAGAAAGGAAACTGTCTGCCAATATGGAATCCAGGGCAAATTGGTTAGTAATCGTTTTGAAACCACTCCATAAACGCCTAGTGAAACATAGTATTAAGGATGTATTCCAATTTAATGACAAGATTAAAAACATAAACACGAAAGATCAAACGATGATGTCCTTTGACGTAGTATCATTGTTCACAATAAGTAAACGGCCCACTAACACAAGAGATCTATACGACCTGGGAGCGTGACCGCAGTGCCCAAGGGACAACTGCTTGAGGCCGGTCACACAAGACCTTTTTATGGATAATTTTTGTGTTAGCTCCGTACTTGTTGAGACCTTACCGCCGGAGACGGAAATCCGTGGGATAAGGCGAGATGTGCATTTTTAGGGTCAACCTTTTCCAACCCCACCCCTCCTTGTGGGAAGGCAGCATCGCTGTCATGCTGGTTGTCTGAAGGAAACACCTTACTGCTGTCACACCTCTGTACAGTCAGCAGTACGACTTCGCCTTTTGGCCCTGGGTTTGTTGCTTTTAGTCTTACCGCTCTTCAACCGACCTGTCTGACATGGTAGGACCTTGACGAACGGTTGTTCCAGCCAGTATAGCTCGATTGCTTCATCACGATAGACAAGCCCGACCACCACGTCAAGGTAGCAACGACGGTCGGGATGCGGACAACTAGTTAATAAATAATTTCATAATATGCTGACGTATTCTGATTAATGTCCATTTTATGCCCCAAACTTATTATTATTATCTTTACACTTAACATTTTGAGGAATTTATTCAATATCCACCCCTAAATCTACTATATCTGACCTAATTCATATTATTCTACGTATTACGTAATTTCCGATTTTTATTCCATCATTTTCTCTCTCACCACATGTTAACTATATTTATTCTGATCATTATTTATCGCACAATTTCATTTCGCTTATAAACTGATTCAAGTTAACACTTTATATTAAACGGCCCCAACATTAACGATCTGAATTGCTTTTATATAACAAACAACAATTCTTAATTCACGTATTACAATTTCCAAATGATATACTCTGCTTTAAATCTGGCCAATTTTATGGATTATTATTTTGGATTTATAATTGTAGAACCTGATGAGAAATTATTGAAAAGAATATTCTTCGTTCATACAATTGTGTTTTAATATAATGAGAATTAAAACTTCTCAGTTATTTGATGAAGAAACATTTGAGTTGTTGATAAGCGTCAATCAGACGTTAAACATTAAATGACGCATGTGTAGTACATGAGACAGTTAGTGTAGCAACAGTAAACACAGGGAGAAAACTAAGATCCTCGAATGCAACACGGAGAGCACCAACAAAATCATACTTGATGGAGAAACACTGCAACAGGTGGAAAACTTAACATACTTGGTGAGTATCATTGATGAAATACGAGGATCTGATGCACATGTGAAGGTAAGTATTGATAAAGTTAATACAGCATCCGTACAAGTGAAGAACATATGGAATACAAAACAACTTTCAACCAATATCAAAGTAAGAATCTTCAATACGAACATCAAGACAGTTCTACTGTACGCAGCTGAAACGTGAATAACTACTACAAACATCATCAAAAATTTACAAGTATTCATAAACAATTGTCTACCCACGATACTATACGTCAGTTCACCAGCTACCATTAGTAACAGCCTACTGTTCGAGAGAACAAACCAGATTCCAACAGAAGAGGGAATTAGGAAAATACGTCGTTAGTGCATAGGATATACATTGTTGAAATCGCCAACCTACATCGCGAGGCAAGCTCTAGCTTGGAATCCTGAAGGGGAACGGAAAGGAGGAAGACCAAGAAACATATTGCATCAGGAATTGGAGGGAGACATGAAAATAATAAACAGCAACTGGGAAGGATTGCCCAGGATAGAGTTCGTCGGAGAACCGTGATTGGTGGCCTATAGTCCTTCACGAAGGGTAACAGGCGTAAGTAAGTAAGTAAAGTAGTAGATGTAATTTCGTCACTCATTCAATTTTCTAATGAATATAGAATGAGTTGGCTACTCGATAATAACGTTTCATAGCTAAAATATCGAGGATAATAAGAGATTGTAATGAACTGGTTATGAATTAGGAATAACGAGTATGTTAAAAACCATTCTATAATCGTTACAAAGCTCATACAAAAAAACTAGTACCATGTTACGATAATGGATGAGATAGTTAGGCAGTTCTTGAAAGGCATAGACTTTCTACCTTGTCGCACATGCAGATTAGAATTTAAACTCAAAGACAGAAGAGATATACAAAGACGTAGAAACATAATAGGTGATTATAATAAAAATAGTAGCGGTAATATGATTTACCGATGAATTGTATTTCCAGTTCAGATTTGCGAGATGCATGCTCTTCCATAAGTCTTGACGCCCAATGCCAAAATGTCAAATTGTCTGATTGATGATAATGGCAGTAATTAGGAGATGATTTCATATATTTACTTGTCAACTGAGTTAATAATTCATGTGGTAAACGTGGAATACGTACAAATTCTTTATGTAAGCGGCCAATCTGTGAAGTCGACCTATCATCCGAAATGAGTCCGATGCCAACACTACTACCACCACCACCATTTGGAGTAGTAGCTGTACCTCCCATCGATGTGGTCACATGTTGATTATTCTGATTACCATGAACTAATAAACAATTGATTAAATCATTGTTATTATTACTGACCCCAGTACTATCAGATAAAAAGTTAGTATCACAGTTTAATGATGCAGCAGTAGAAGTAGTAGATGTTAGTAAAGGAATTCCTAAACCTGTTAATATAGATTCAACTGATGAAATATTGTCAGAATTTATGTCGAAATCATTATTGTCTGTATTTTGTAGGCTACTAGTATTGTTATTAGCTGTTCCATTAACACCGGTTATATTCAGTAAATGATTCAATATTGATGGACGTAGTAATACAATATCTTCATCAGAATTTATTGATCTATTTCCATCGTCTAGTGCATTATTAGTGATGTTACTGGCAGCGGCCGTGGCTGTGATGGTAGTAGTAGTATTAGTATTAGAAGCAGTAGTAGCAGTAGTATTATTACTAGCATTGGTATTGTTTAAGAGAGCAGAAATTAAGGAAGCATTAACGGATGGTAGGAGAATTCGATAAGATGAACGACCACTTGCACTACCTGCACTCCCAGCACGACTATATCCATCCGAATGCGTTAAATATGTACGTTTTTGTAATGGACGATTCTGAAGCCAAATAGCAGCTCTGAAATTACGGTGAACAGAACCAACAAAAAGTCATTCAACGAATATTTATACAGTTTACTTTGAAACTTATTTAAGAGGATGGGAGTGACCAGATCAAAAATAAACTTGAATTTAATGGAGTCCTGAATTACCTATAATTGTCAAACGTTACAAAAGCGTAATGACACACATTACCACCAAATAATTCGTCTTACTGAACTGATTGATCAAAGACATATACCATCAGCGTTCCGAACCACTGAAAAAACCACAGTGGTGTTATTGATTACCGGTCTTTTTTGGTTATTACGACCTCAAGTGACTCTATCTAGTTTATATTATCAATCACTACTCAAACAAGTAAACGCACGCAAAAATCTCTTTAGAATGAAACTTTATTAAACTGTACTAGGTAGTAGTAAGTTTCACTGATTGAAAACTATTGTTTACTCATTTATATGAGCAAATGCATACATTAAGTGAAATGAGTTCAGAAAACTTTACCTACTCATTTCAGTAATCGAGTAGTATATAAAAACAAAGAAAGAAATCAGATTTAGCGTATGCTGTACAGTGAAAAACATATGCAAGAATTTATTGAAAGAAGAAAAGCAACACCGCTTAAGCTAGCACTAACCTGGCTGGACCAAATGCACAAGCCGAAAACAACTGAGAACGTACATTGAATGAGAAGAGAATATTAAATCGTTGACTTAAACTTAAACACCAATTAGGTAAAGCACCAGAAGCTAACGCTAAAGGATCATGTATTTGACGCAATAACTTATTAGTTAATCGTGTAGATGTAAAATCCTCCACTTTCATTTCAATTGATTCGCTTTTATCAACCAATGAATTATCATTATTGTTATTATTATTCTCCAAATTGAATTCCTTTAAACCAGATAACTGATATAACAACTTGATAAGTTGTAAAATATCTTCAGGATCACTTGGTGGATAAGATTTATGAACATTGTAATCATTTATTATTGAGTATTCTGATTTGTTAGTTAAATTATCCACAACAACGCCATCAACATCATTGTTATTATTACTGTTAATGTTATTATCACCAATTATAGGTATTTTAATGCCTGATGATGTATAAATTATTGGTCTATCCAAAGATGGTGTAAATCTTAAATCACGTTTATTTAATAATGCCTTCCCATAGATTGTTCGAATTGTTGACTGATGTAAAAAAAAACAAAAAAAACAGCAAGAAATTTAATTTTCACATTGATATGCTTAAACTTCCATAAAGACTCCATGGCATCCAGTGCTAACAGCTTCTATAGTAGAATGACGTAATAGCAGATTACAACTAACTTACGTCCGTTCTCCACCAAAATTTCGGTTGAATAAATACAAAATCTCACAAAACTACATAATTCACTGATATATATATATATATGCCTATACTACTACTATGCTTTTTACGGTTTCAGAAATCTGTTGAAGCCTAGGATAGTATGTAACACTGTACTTAACCTCGTTATCGTACACGAACTAACTTTCAAGAAAGAATTTTTCTCGCCATTCGCCTCTTCTTTCTCCTGTTTCAGTAGACATGTAGAAGTAAATTGGGAAGATAGTTTAGACGGACTGGTAGCAAGACTTATCAATATCACATAATAAAGAACACTACTTACTAACCTAATCACAACAGAAGTAACAAATATTGAAAAGAAAATTTTTGTAATGAAAAGACACATACCTCATTCACATCATGATCATGATCATTATTACTAACATCAGTAATAGGTGTAGGAATAGTTGATAATGTAGATGATTTGACACAATCATCATTCGCATCCCAAAATCGATAACCTAATTTAATTAAATAATTATTTTTTGTTTTATCATTTCCATCAATTGATTTGGACAAACGATATTCACTAGAATTTTCAAGTAGTTCAAATTTCTCTGACAATTCCTAAAATTGTTTGTTTTTTTAAAATAAATTTAACAGTAAAGATAAAAATTTAAATCATAAATTAGAATCGTTTAAAGACAAAATAATTATTGAAATATGTATGTTGTATTATACATTGACAATTTAAACTTGATTTAGGCAACCTCAACATTAAAATATATAAATTCACTTGATATTGTTTTACTTGAATCCTCCCATTGATGTTTTACGACTGAAATTGGTCAGTCTCTTATTGGCATATGTGCATACTGTGCGTATGCCTCGATATTGCCTTAATTTACAAGCATTATAAGCAAAGATGGATAGTGGCTAGCAGTGAAATCCAGGACGCGCGTTTCGTCCTGTTTGGGACTCGTCAGCTGGATGTACCTGCATCTCCGAGTTGATGTTCACTCTGGGACTCGAACTCAGTACCGTTCGCGGTGGCGTTTGGAGCGAACGGTACTGAGTTCGAGTCCCAGAGTGAACATCAACTCGGAGATGCAGGTACATCCAGCTGACGAGTCCCAAACAGGACGAAACGCGCGTCCTGGATTCCACTGCTAGCCACAATCCATTTTTGCTCATTAAAATATATAGTTCAATGAGAATAATAGTAGGTTACTAAGTTGCTGTTGTTGAAAATTTGGAGATTTCTATGCTGATAATTGTAGTTTGAAAGAATATTGGACACTGAACATGTACATTAATATATTATTAGGGGGTAGTAATTGTCATATTTATCTGATCCATAGAGTTGACCGAATTCTATCGATCACGTTGTCATGTAACCACTAGTTTAAAAGAATAAAGAGTATTATTAAGTGTTCGAAGTCAGTTGGCAGTATTTCAGTCTTATAGTAGGTTGACCACGGCCCTAACAGTCAACTAGTTTCATCTCAGACTGTAAAATTAGCTGACGCAAGTTCAGGACTCACAAGTAACATCAGACCACATGATCATAGGTAGGTCTTGCTGACGGATGCTAGGATACTAGGCAAAGATAAAAAATCAATTGGTGAGCTAGTGGGTGTTCGGGAAGTGTAGTATGTTTATCGAACCACCATCTACCTCGAGAGGTAACTGAAATATAGGGCATCAGTCCATCAAGTCACTAACTTTTGGACTGAATCGTGTTAGTAAATGGAGATTATCCGAGTGGGATCAGAGCAATCAATCCAACATAAGACAGTGCACAAAAGGTTACATATGCATGTGATGTACTCATTATGTACAAATATTCTAAACATAGATAAGATTTATTCAGTGAAGATGAAACGGATGAAACTCATAACAAACTGTTACATAGAATAAAATATCATATAATATTATTGTGTCGTTATAAAACAAGATATCGACTTTTGCACTTTTCAACATTTATTCTAATTACCTAGAATGACGAGTAAGTGTACTCATCGTAAATAATAAAAAAGTAATTAGAACTACTGTTACTACATATAAGAAGTGTTAAACACGAAATAGCAACGGGAGATCATAATTCCATTCAATGTGATATTTATTTAGTTAGTATATTAATCAATTTCGCTCTTGATTGTTTTGATTTAAGGTGGTTTAAAAAATGAAAAATATTCAAAAGGAATCTCTTTAGCAGGTTAAACTATATGCTTTTAGTTTCGACTTCAAGACTGACTCAATCTGAGGTTTTTTTTACTGCTGATTGTTGTCTATTGTTTTCCGCATTAAATGTCAGTGTATTTTGTACCCTCATCTTTACTTTATTTTTCTCTTATCCAGCTATTTTCGTTCACTTTAGTCTCCATGCTCCTCTAGTACACAAAGTACCACCTAACTAGAGGTGAACCGTCACACTTCGACATGTGTCAACCTATATCATTTATGGAATCAACTAGCTACATCGAGCAATAATTTCGTAGTATGTCGATAATGTTCTAAAGACACACAACAAGAGAAAAGTTTAAAAATTCACACACACCCTCTACTCTATATAAGAGCTTGACCCGAACTTCGTTAATCCCAAGCTCTACGTTAATTATGACTGATCAATTCATATTTACATTTTATTAAAATAGAAACAGTAATGTTACTTACTTGAATATATTTGAATAAAGTAGCATTCTTATCACGTAATGGTATTTGTATTAGATATTCAGAATTCATATAAACTCCAAGAAACAATGATAAACGTGAATAAGAATCTGTTGGATCAAAGCAAGTACAATTAAAGTATTTTAAGAAATACAGAAATTTCAATAAACATTGTGTAAATTTAATTTAGAAAATTAATTGATTTCTTATAAAGGACAGAAGATTTAGAACAGAAAAAATATTTTATCTATGTAAACTAGTCAGAAATCGAGGTTGAAAAACTTTTATTTTGTAAGATTAATTGTAAATCAATTTTAATCTTCAGTAAAAACACTTCCAAGTTGTGGTGACATATTTGATTCATTTTTCCGTCGGATTATTTGTTTAGTTATGCCCATAACTAACAACCCGCAGTGGCTCAATAGTGAAGGCGTTCAGCCATTAAACTCCAAGTTAAAAACCTATTCCATCTCTACTCTGGTTTGAGAAACCTGGTGGTGTCACAATCTCTCACACTTAAAATGCGGCTCTAACCAGACATCTAGTGAATGAGTTCATTTAAATTGATTCTGTAAGATAACTTCAAAGCTGGATACTCTGATTATCTGACAGAGTTAAGGGGTTAAGAAAGAAACATTTATCCACGATAACTCTTCAACAATTCACAGATACTTTTAAATCATTGGTAATCGTAGATGATTTTTTGTTTGAGAAACTAATATAAACGGGAATGACTATATAAGATATTGTTCGAAAACACAATCGATCACAATAAATACAATTACAATTATCGAAAGTATTGATATTACTCGAATGAATAAGAAACATAACTTAAAAGACTTACCTTCGTCATTTGCTGAACATTCAGGTTCACTATAAGGAGGTCGACAAAGCATATACGCTGTAGTCCCTGGAGCATTTGTTGAACCAGGATTCGGAATAAAAGTAGGAATTAAACCCAATGGCAAACGAAGTGCATCAGTTGCTTCATTCCACGACAAAGGAACAGGAGGAGTACTAGAATGAGGTGAGTTCGAGTGACTGGCAGGAGTCTCTTTAGATTCAGAAGAAATCATTTGACGTGGTCGATTTCTACGAATCCGGCGGCGAAACTGTTGATGTATTGGTTTCCATGACGATGGTAGAACTTGAAATCCTGAACTGTCTGATGATAAGTTAGTATTAAATGAAGCAGTTTCATTTAACTGTTCAGAATATTGAGAAGTTTCATTTAACTGTTGATTATGATCATCAGAATTTTTGGATAGTTTACTTGTGTTATTACAAGGTTCCTAAGAAGAAATGTAAAAAAACAATTCAGTAAATTTGATCTACATTATAAAACTTCGCAAATGTGATGAATTATTTGTTATTTATTAAGGTGTGAACTTTTACAATAATGCGACGAATGTCAAGAAAACACCAGGTATATCAATAATATCATGTAAATTAATTCTAATTTACTTCGATACAATTAATCAATAAATTCTACTGATAGACAAATTAGTTACGTATAAGTAGAGAAGATTAATTTGATAAACAAAATGTTTTCTAAATATATTAAAGAGCCAAATCAGATATTCAATGCCATTTGCCTAAATATTTGAAACATAAAGATGTAAGAATAATTATTAGCAACAAGTGTATTGACCTTGAGAACAAAAAGACTTTCAAGCGAAAAATTATAAATAAAGCTTTTTGTGTTGTATACGAATATGTTCATTCTTTCAATACAAAGGCGTTTAGATTCCATGTTCAATTTGTAAAAGGAGATTTCTGTATTCAAAATATTGACTCATTGTATACTAATTTTCTTGTAAATAGGATAGTTTAATTGTTGAAATATCTAATTGTCAACCATTGGATATCACGTTTGAATTCTATTCCTTTGTGGATGAAAGAAAGTTTTAGAAGTTGAATAGCTCAACCGTGAAGCTTTCATCACTCGCCTTGCAAACATCGTCAGTATACAGTATAAAAATAATTAATCTATACTAGAATTTCACGTTTCTCTCTGACCGTACATCCAGTTGATAAACTTAGTGAATAACAAGATAGTTTATAGAGCAACTTAATTCATTCACTTCTAAAACTAACCTGGCCTTTGTATTGTTTCGAATTTAAACATCAACAATTACTTAGTCAAACACTTTTATACACCACCATCCTAGAACTCCGAATCCACCATCAACGTGATTTCTGGATATCTTTCTACACAGACACTATATGATTCAAAGTTAAGTAAAAAAACATGTACATGATCGGCAAGTTCCGGCGCTTTAACCGGATTCCAAACCAATGGTGCACATGGGCTCCAGCATCCTGCGAGAACGAATGGCGTATGAACCAATTCCTTGGTCACCGGCTACCATAGGCCTGCATCTCCTTACGATGCTCCACTGCCTTGTGGGTTAGACCTTTAGGTCAAAGGCTCGGGCGGTGGCCCCTAAGATAACCACCTGCTTCGGTCTGGGCACTCGGGCAGTATCACAGCCCACACGCAAATGATGAACTCTCTATATCTATGGAAACTACTTTTCCGCTTCGAATAACAACCAAATGATTCAAATTATCATTTTTATTATTATTATTGTTATTAGTATTATTTACTACGACATTATTCACCCTTTTTATTCATACTCTGTCTATACTTATTTTTTCGACTTATACAGCAGCTCGTCTTTGGTGGAAATTTGACTGTATCTAAACGTTCTCGAGTCACTGTCCGGTTGAAAATTGTATGTTACCACAAAATATGAGTACTGAAGTAGTTTTTCTGAAACAACGTGCACCATTCAAACTGGCTGCATTCAACGTTCGCACACTAATGCAGGTTGGACAACGAATAGGGCTGGCTATGTCTTTGGAAAGTCTTAATATCGATGTCTGCTGTCTATCCGAGACCCGTATTCAAGACTCTGGTGAAGTACCACAAATTCGCTCTCCATCTGTCGCTTCAAAAAGCTTGTTTTACATGCGCTTATTCTAGGACGCTGTGGCATCTTCGTCTGGTCTTGCTCGCCTTGGTGTCGCACTAAGCGCTAGAGTTAAGGCAGCACTAATCGGTTGGATGCCCATTAACAGTCGATTATGCGCTGTTAGATTAGAAAGCTCCATCAAAGTGAGAAGAAATCGGCGTGAGAAACGATATCTTCTCGTCATCTCCGCCTATGCTCCGACAGATTGCAGCCCAGATGCAATCAAGGATGAGTTTTACCACCAGTTATCTGTTCTTCTCCAGAAAGTGCGTTCGACAGATATTGTGCTACTAATCAGAGACTTGAATGCTCAGGTTGGGCGTCTAGACACAGTAGAGAGTCGTTCAGGTGGCCGATGGGGACTCGTTGGTCGCAGATCAGATAACGTGGACCGTCTACTGCAACTGTGCATAGACCACAACCTGTTTCTGGCTAGCACTAACTTCCGGCACAGTCATCGCCGATGTGCCACCTGACGTCCTCCCTCTGCATCCCAAGTCTGGACTCAGATTGATCACATCGCGATCAGCTACCGCTGGCGTGGTTGTGTACAAGACTGCCGCTCCTTTTGGAGTACCTATCTGGACTCTGACCATGCCTTGGTCTGCGCCAATCTTGCCTTACTTTTCAGTGGACAACGAAGTGACCGCCATCAACGGATTGATATTAGCAAGCTGGTTGCAACTTCTGTTGCAAGTAAGTATTGAACCGAGCTAGCCTCTAGGCTAGCTACCATTCCACCGAAAAGTATAGATGAGCATTGGTTGCAATTGCATGACGCCATGAAAATGGCGGGTACAGTCAGTTGTGGGTTCGCGAAACGTCCCGCTTATAAGCACTGGGTTTCTTCTGGTTCCTTACAACTTATTGAAGCCCGTCGGTCTACTCCGGGTGACCGTGAGTTTGACCACAAACGAAGGATGTTACGTAAGGAAATTGGGCAAAGCTTGCGTAAGGACCGAGAAGCCTGGTGGTCGGAGCGTGCCAATGAGTTGGAAGCAGCAGCTGCATCTGGTAAATACCGGAAGCTCTTCCAACTCATCCGAGCCACTGGCAGCAAGAAGTCTGTTGTGAGCGAAACAATCTGCGAAGATGACAGGATCCCAATCAGTAACATCCATCGACGTCTTGGACGATGGGCAGAATTCTTCGAAGGGCAGTTCAACTGGCCTGCTGCTCCGGCAACATCGGTCAGACTGTCCTACCCTCCATGGCCGGTGACGACTGATCCACCAAATGAGGCGGAAGTCCGCAAGGAAATCCAACTCTTGAAGCGTTACAAATCACCTGGCCCAGATGACTTACCTCCGGCTCTTTTTAAAGATGATGGTGACTTTTTGACTAAGGAATTGACGACGTTGTTCACAAAGGTCTGGGGACTAGAGAGTGTACCAACGTCATGGAATGAGTCGATAGTTGTCCCTATCTTTAAAAATGGTTCACATCGTTCCTGTAACAACTATCGGGGGATAAGTCTACTTCCGACTGCGTCCAAGCTATCCGTCATACTTCATACTTACTTACTTACTTACGCCTGTTACTCCTCGTGAAGGAGCATAGGCCGCTCACCAGCATTCTCCACCCAACCCTGTCCTGGGCAATCCTTTCTAGCTCCGTCCAGTTGTAATTCATCGTTTTCATATCTGCTTCTATTATCCGACGCAATGTGTTCTTTGGCCTTCCTCTTTTCCGCTTCCCTTCAGGATTCCAAGTTAGGGCTTGCCTCGTGATGCAGTTTGACGATTTGCGTAATGTATGTCCTATCCATTTTCATCGTCTTTTCCTAATTTCTTCTTCAGCTGGAAGTTGGTTTGTTCTCTCCCACAGAAGGCTATTGCTGATGGTATCCGGCCAATGGATGTTGAGTATCTTGCGTAGACAGCTATTTATAAATACTTGTACTTTCTTGATTGTGGTTGTTGTAGTTCTCCAAGTTTCAGCTCCATACAGTAGAACTGCCTTGACGTTCGTATTGAAGATTCTTACTTTGATATTGGTTGAAAGTTGTTTTGAGTTCCATATGTTCTTCAATAGTAGGAAAGCGGCCCTTGCTTTGCCGATCCTCGCCTTTACGTCGGCATCGGATCCTCCTTGTTCATCGATGATGCTTCCCAGGTATGTGAAGGACTCTACATCTTCCAGAGTTTCGCCATCAAGTGTGATTGGATTGCTGTTCTCCGCTTTGAATTTGAGGACCTTAGTTTTCCCTTTGTGTATGCTGAGGCCTACTGATGCAGAGACTGCTGCTACACTGGCTGTCTTCATCTGCATCTGTTCGTGTGTACGTGATAGGAGGGCTAGGTCATCTGCGAAGTCCAAATCGTCTAATTGATTCTGAGCTGTCCATTGTATTCCGTGTTTTCCTTCAGATGTTGAGGTCTTCATAATCCAGTCGACCACCAGAAGAAAGAGGAAGGGAGAGAGTAGACAGCATTGTCTGACTCCGGTCCTTACTTGGAATGCATCTGTCAGCTGTCCTCCATGCACTACTTTGCACTGTAGTCCGTCGTATGAGTTCCGGATAATATTGACAATCTTCTCAGGAACTCCGTAGTGTCGAAGAAGTTTCCATAATGTCCTCCTATCTACACTGTCGAATGCCTTTTCATAATCAATGAAGTTGATGTATAGTGATGAGTTCCACTCAACTGATTGTTGAACGATGATCCGTAGTGTTGCAATTTGGTCTGTGCACGACCGATCCTTACGGAATCCAGCTTGTTGGTCTCGAAGTTGGGCGTCTACTGCATCCTTCATCCGGTTCAGCAACAATCTGTTGAAGACTTTCCCTGGTATTGACAGTAGTGTTATGCCTCTGTAGTTTTCACATTTGCTCAGATCTCCTTTCTTTGGAATCTTGACGAGGTGTCCTTCTTTCCAGTCCATCGGCACTTGTTCCTCCTCCCAAATCTTTTTGAATAGAAGATAAAGCATGCTTGTGGTTGCTGCGATGTCTGATTTCAGTGCTTCAGCTGAAATGTTGTCGGGTCCCGCTGCTTTCCCGTTCTTGATTTGTCTGACGGCCATTCTAATTTCTTCCGTAGTTAATGGATTGACATCTATAGGAAGATCTATGTGTGCTGCTTCGATGTTCGGTGGATTCATTGGAGCCGGTCTATTCAGGAGCTCTTCGAAGTATTATACCCATCTGTTACGCTGTTGTTGAATTTCGGTGATTGGCTTGCCTTCTTTGTCTTTGACCGGCCTCTCTGGTTTACTGTATTTCCCTGCTAGTTTCTGCGTTGTATTGTGAAGCTGTTTCATATTTCCTTCTCTTGCAGCTTTTTCTGCCGTCGTTGTTAGTTCTTCCACGTATTTCTTCTTGTCGGCTCTAATGCTCCTCTTCACTTGCCTGTTTGCTTCTGTGTATTCAGCTTGTGCTTGGACTTTCTCTGCTCGTGTTCGGCTGTTGTTTATTGCTGCCTTCTTGTTCTTCCTTTCTTTGATCTTGTCCAGTGTTTCTGTAGAGATCCATTCCTTATGATGGTATTTCTTTAGACCGAGAACCTCTTGACACGTTGAAGTTAATGCTTCCTTGATGCCTTTCCAGTTGTCCTCCATACTAGTTTCTTCTTCTTTCAGTAGATCTTGTAAGGCTTGGAACCTGTTGTTGAGAGCTATCTTGAATTCATTGAGTTTGTCAGTATCTCGAAGGAAGGCTGTATTGAACCTTTGTATTGCTGTTTGTCCACTTGTCCAGTTCTTTTCTAGCTTCAGTTTCAAATTGGCTACAACTAGGTGGTGATCTGAAGCTACGTCAGCACCTCTCCTGGTTCTCACATCTTCCATTGTCCTTCGGAATTTTTTGTTGATGCAAATATGATCTATTTGGTTCTCTGTAGTGTGGTCCGGTGAGATCCATGTAGCCTTGTGTATACGCTTGTGTGGAAATATTGTGCCTCCTATGACCAATTTGTTGAATGCACATAGATTTGCAAATCTTTCTCCATTTTCGTTTCTTTCTCCCAGTCCATGTCGTCCCATAATATCTTCATATCCAGTGTTGTCTATTCCAACTTTGGCATTTAGATCTCCCATCAGAATAGTTAGGTCCTTTCTTGGGCATTTCTCTATGATTGACTGCAGCCGCTCGTAGAACTGATCTTTAATTTCGTCGTTGCTATCATTGGTGGGTGCATAACATTGGATAATATTCATTAAGATCCCCTCCTTCTTTGTTTTGAATGATGCTTTGATGATTCTGGATCCGTGAGATTCCCATCCTACAAGTGCATTTCGTGCTACTTTGGACAGCATAAGAGCGACTCCCTGAGTGTGTGGAGCATTGTCCTCTTCGTGACCGGAGTATAGCAGCATCTCTCCCGTAGCTAGCCTTTTCTGTCCAGCTTGGGTCCAGTGGGTTTCGCTGATTCCCAGTACTGCCAAATTGTATCTCCTCATTTCCATTGCTATTTGACTGGTCTTCCCGGTTTCCCACATTGTTCGAACGTTCCATGTACCTATAAAAATTTTTGCTCTGGTTGTTAGAAGGGGCATCGGCCTCGTGGCTTCCGAAGGAACTCGGCTTTCACCATGAGGCGTCATAATTCTTCTAAATGAAGACCTTCTAACTCCCAGGGCAGAGTTAAAATGGTTTGGATTATTTTTTCTGGTAAGCGTTTTTTTAGCGAGTTGGTTTTCTACGGGATGGGGACGCTAACCCCATGCCCAACCCTCCTCCTTTACCCGGGCTTGGGACCGGCAGCAACCCTATAAGAGCTAAAGGCGGAGTTGTCATACTTCATAGGTTGTTCAAAACACGAGAAAGATTGACTCGCGAGCAGCAGGCTGGGTTTCGTTCCAGTCGAGGATGTATTGATCATATCTTCACCCTCCGCCAAATGTTAGGACACCGTCATACTAATCAAAGGCCGACAACTGTAGTGTTTCTTGACATCAGGGCTGCCTTCGATTCGTTGGATAGGACTGTTCTCTGGGATTGTCTATTGAATAAGGGTGTGCCTGAGAAGTTTATTAACATCCTAAAAGCACTATATACAAACACCTCAGGCAGAGTGAGGGCATACAACCACCTCTCTCCATTGTTCCATTCGAGCAGTGGGGTTAGACAGAGTTACCCAATCTCACCATTTCTCTTCAACTTTGCCATTGATGACATTCTGGAAACAGCTCTGATGGATGTAAGTAATGGCGGTGTGGATCTGTTGCCTGGAGAAAGACTTCTCGACCTTGAGTATGCGGATGATATTGTCTTACTGTGCGATAATGCCCAAGGCATGCAATCCGCACTTAAACAGTTGGCAATCAGTGTCCGTAGGTATGGGTATGTGCTTTGCACCATCGAAGTGCAGGGTACTTCTACAGGACTGGCAGGATTCTAATCCTGTACTCACCCCGGATGGTGAGCAGATAAAAGTAGTCAAGAAGTTCGTGTATCTGGGTAGCTGCATAAGTGCTGGTGGTGGTATGAGTGATGAGATCAATCCACGAATAGTGAAAGCCAGAGCGGCTTATGACAATCTAGGCCACCTTTGGCGCCTTCGTGATGTTAGTCTGGCTGTAAAAGGTCGGATCTACAACGCGTCGGTGAGAGCAGTTCAGCTCTATGCTTGTGAAACCTGGCCTCTCCGAGTTGAGGACGTTAGACTACTCTCTGTGTTCGATCATCGTTGTCTCCAAAGGATTGCTGACATCCAGTGCCAACACCATGTTAGTAATGCAGAGGTTCGGCATCGTGTGTTCGGGCACAGAGACGACAATTCAATTGGTGTCACCATCTTGAAACACCGACTTCGGTGGCTTGGACATGTTCTACGAATGTCGTCCCAGAGAATTCCACGTCGTGCATTATTTGCCGACTCTGGGACTGGTTGGAAGAAGCGGAGAGGTGGTCAGTGTATGACATGGTGTCGTGGTATGAAAGAAAGCTGCAAAGGGCTGGCTTCTGTCGGTCCTTTACGACTACCTGGTTGGGGTCCCAGAGATAGTGCGACACAGTGGCTAGAGACGTTATCAGATATGGCTTAGAATAGAAGCCAGTGGCGATCCTGCTGTAACCTCCTTTTACTTTTTTCATAAAAAAAGTGGTTGTGTCTTCCTTAACTGAAAGATTTCTTCTGATTGTACCTTTCCGTCCTCCCATTTTTACCATTATTATTATTACACCACCTTACATCAATCTCTTCGTTATTTTTCTCTTTTTTTCCTTCCCCTTAAATTCCCATTGTTTTGTGTGGCGCATTCTTGTACCAATATTTATGTGTTCAAATAATAAAATAAATCATGATGTGATTATACGAAGTCGAACAGAAACAATATTGATTATCAGAAAAACGTGCCCACCATCCACACAACTTACAGTATTCACAGTTTTAATCACTGATGAATTAGTATATGACGTAGATGAATGAGTAAGTAATCCAATTGAATCACAAATCTTTTCTGGCTCCTCTTCCTCACTGTGTATTAATTGGTCAACTAATATGGGATTATTTTTATGATTAGCATTTTGAATCGATTGAAAATGTTCCCATGAATGAGATGGAGCTTGTGATATTTTGTCAATAGTTAAATCAATCGGGTTTTCATTATCATCACCATTATTGTTGTTTCGTCTATTTTTAACAGTATTACTACGAATTATGGCTTCTACAGTGTCTGCAAACTCTATAGCTTCTGGTTCGATAGAATTAAGTAGATAACCTAAACCAGGTACCTGGTAGGGAAGAGGGATGGAAAGAAAACAACTACAGATAATAAACAGTTAACGAATTTAATTCGAAAATATGTCTATTTATAATACAACACAGCATGTATTGAAAAGTGATAACTAGTATGAAAATCGCTACACCTTCACATATTAACGGTGCGATAATAAATGAACAACAAGAAGGAAATCAGACAACAACAAAACAGTAATGATACTAACCAGTAGTAGTGGTTGTTATATAGATTTCAATGAAACTAGACTTAAATACATTATTATTAGTAAGTGTTTGAATTATCACGTTGTTGATATCGAGGACTGAATTTCGATCAGTCTAGTTTGATACGCATACAAACATATGTGACTAACAACAATGGGATAATCCGAACGCTCGCTAATAATGATTTAAACATCATACCAACTGAATGGGTTGTTGAATGTCCAGACTTAATAGACCAGTGGATAACGCTTTGAGTGTTTGAAACATAAAGTAATATTAATAGTCGAGATCATTAGTCAATTGAAGCTAGATCACCATAGAAAACCTGAAAGCACTGGACGGCCATTTCATCTTATTGTGGGACTCCTCAACAGTGCGCATCCACGATTCCGCCTTGTGAGATTTCAACCCAGGACCTCTAGACCGCAGAGCCGGCATCCAAAGGTTTTAACGTCTAACTTCAACTAATCCACGAAGTCAAGCGATACATCCACCATTGTCTTCAGTGAGTGACTATCTCACAAAAAATCCGGTTGAACTCCACTGGTCACTGCTTCTCACTAGAAGTCCAGGAAATACCTCTTAAAGCCAGTCATTAACAGTCTCAATTCATCTATTCCTAGCTAAAATATAATAATTACAATGTGAATGTTTGTGAACATAATTCGGTTCGAAGTTGATTATGATCATAGACTGATATAAAATGGATAATGATGATTATCGCACAGTATCACAAATTGACCAAAATTAAAAATATTAATCGTTGGATACCAACCCAATAGTGAAGATGACACACACTCTTTGAAACCCACGGGATCACGGGATATGGTCTCCAGTAGTTTTTTTTATTATTTTTATTTTAACACATAGATATTGGTACGAAGAGGCACCAAATACATATGCGCCACACAAATCTCATTTGATTTGTGTGAGGGCTGTGATACTGCAGGTGGTTTTCTTAGTGGGCCACTCCCCGAGCCTTCGACCTGAAGGTCTGATCCACAAGGCAGTGGAGCATCGTAAGGAGATGCAGTCCCATGGAAGCCGGTGACCAACAATTGGTTCATACGCCATTTGTTCCCTCGAAGTACTGGAGACCATGTGCACCATTGGTTTGGAATCCTGTTAAAGCGCTGGACATTCGCTATTCTTCCTCTCATTTTCGTAAACAACACCGCCGCCACGAGGCAGTGAGTAGGACTTCCCTGGTAGAGGCTATATACGCGTGGCCATGTGAGAGCATTTCGAGAGGGAGAGCGGACTCTCCCCACTCTCGACCGTACCAGGGCATTTGGGGGCGGTCTCTAGGAGTATTGTGGCTCTGTACATACTGCTGAAGATTTTAATACTAGAAAAAAAACATACGGATGATGATCAGTTTTTAGTGGCAATTTGATGAATAAAACAGTCGAAGCTGTATTCAAATAATAATACAAAATATAGCATAAAGACTTCCAATACAACCAACTGTAAAAAGAAAGAAAAAAAGTTAAACAGAATGGACTTTCCTGATACTTGTGGAATAACTCTGAAGAAAAACACACTACTATTAGAATTAGGCACTGATAATGCTGCCCAAACTAGTAAAACACTAAAAAATAAAACGACACTAAAATGAACAAAATAAGCTACAAAATTAATTCTTACATCAGATTCACCAGATGCTTCTGTATTACTCTGATCAATATAAGAAATATGAGGTTCTGTGATATCGATTTCTCCAGTATCCAGAATAATAGAATCAATTCTTTTTGTATCCTCTGATTGATGATTGATCATTAGTTTTGAATGATGATGTTCTTCTTCTTCTTCTTCTTCTTCTTCTCTAGAATGTATACTATCCATGCTACGTGATGTACATTTATTCGATAGATCATAATCCACTGAATTAAAACAAAAATATGGTAAAATAAATTTGCAACGAATGTATACATATGAATTTTAATTAGTAGAAAAATAGCATGAATTATCACTTATTTTTATCAGGTGAAACTTCCACTATTCAATGAAATGTATTAAAAATCATTACACAGAAACACAGAGTGTGTGTTGAGGGGAGAGGCAGGGTACTGACTGATTGATAATAAATAAAGAAAATATGTTTGAAATTCATTTCTTTTTTTTTGAGCATAACATTATTCAACAACTTACTATCTTGTGATGCAATACGACGTAGAAGTTGATATAATTCTGGTGATGATTTATCATTGGCAAGAAGATTACCGAAACATTGTAATAATTTGTCATCAATCTAAACACACAAAAAAACAATCCCATTCAGTGTGAAAAGAGTTTGAAGATTGATAATATTCTGAAGCAAAATATAAAATATCATTAAGCTAGAAAGAAGTCCATGACTACATGTACATGTGTATAAGAAAATTAATTCTTGTTATATTCGTTAAAGAATCAACTTTAGATTGCTGTACGAGGAGGGGTAGGACATAGAATCTCATTGATTTACAAAGGAATAATCAAACCGGATTGATAATCAAGTGTTTACAATGAAGAATTACATTATTTAAGGGATGAAAATAGTTCGAAAATTCCTATTGGTCTGATAGCATGTGTATTTTAGACAAACAGATATTACTAAAAAGGATTTGAAAATTGTAGAATTACATAAATGTAATCTTACAGGGATATGATTTTTAATAATCTAGCTAATATATGCTACAACCACCTAAAAAATATAATGTAACTGCTGTCGAATTACTTAAACTACTGTCCGCAACCAATTTGATCGACAGGATTTGATCAGAATTAGGGACTAAACAAACATGATATTAACTGTTACACAATGAATGATTGACTAACGTATCATCATGACTTACTGATCTGATTAATGAATGACAGTAAAAATGGAAAACAAAATTTATACAGTAATCAAGATGATTTGTATTCTGCTTATCATTACAAAACTGTAGTGATTTAACAGTATAGACTTATAAATGAACAAATTTAACATAAATTGTATACAAGAAAAATTAAGTCAATTAGAATGTATGAATATGAACCGAGATAAAGAGTGAAAGAATAAAAATAAGGGGACTTACTGTTCCACTAGATAAAATATTTAAATTATCCAATTTCTTAGCAGATAATTCTAAAATCATATCAACATCCGATTTACTTGTACTTGTCATCATATTGTCATCAGAACCAGCTTCTTCATCGAATAAGATATTCATTAAAGTATCACTTGATTTATGATTAAGAAGGTTTTCGGTAATATTTTTACCAATACCATTACCATCATCATCGTCACCATCATCGTCGTCGTCGTCATCATCATCATCTTCATTGTCATCATCATCGTCATCATCATTATCATCAACATTTACATGATTATCATGTTCTTTTTCTTCTGCTTCCACTTTTCCTTCCTCTCCTTCATAATTATCATCTATGGGATTCTTTTTTTGTGATGATGATGACGATGGTATTATTGAAGTAATATGATGACAATGAACTATTTCATTACTGGACGACTTTGGATCTCGCCTATTATTGTCTATTTGTTTAAGCGTGATATTTAAATTAGATGATTTTGATGAAGAGTTTTCATCAGTTATTTCTTCAGGATCACTTTTGATAACCGTACGATTGTTAATATCATTAGCATCATCATTCACTTCATTTTGATTAATCTGACCGTTTTGATTATTTGTTGACAGGTTCACATTTACTGTTAACCATGATGATGATGAGATTGATGTTGTTATCGTTTGAGGAGGAGGAGAAATATCTTTTCTTTCAGATGAAATTGAATAGATCCTCTGTGCTAAAATACTAGGAGTCAATACCTAGACGAAATAGAAAATATTTATGTATCATTATTGTAGTTTACTTGGCAAAATCACTATTTTCAATAATAATCACATTTATTGAACCTCAACAGAGATCAATTCATTTACCAGACACAGATTCATGCACTTGATTTCGGGCTACACTGAAATATGTGAAGTATGGTTTCAACCTGTGACTTAGTAGTTAAAGTTGAAGCCCACAATTCATGAGCCACTGCTCCATAAACTGTAGTAGTATGTGAATGAAAAATGATAGGAATAGGGTTATTTGTTACCAACTTCGAGGGATCAATTAAAACAAGTTGGATGCTAACAAAAACATCCCATGAAAGTTGATGGTTTTAATCGTCTTTTAAAGCCATGGTTGTTACGGAGGAGAATCGAACATCTAACCTAATAGTTGAAATTTAAGAACGTTAACCACAACGTCATCCTAATGAAAATGTAATCTGAAAAGCGTACAGAGAGAGGAAGGCACAGAATAAGATATTTATCTCATAAGAGATTGTCTTTATTTAATACGACAGAATACTATATACATTTATTGTTAATACAAAAGAACAAATATGGGGATCATTGACAAGTGTTAAACATTAATCTTTCACGAATAAAAAATCAAAAAAATGTTAGAACTTATTTACCAAGTAAACGTCTATGTAATCAGCTGAACCCAATTATCAGTGTGAGAGATACTAATACTACACAATCGGCTACATAGAAGACGGTGGAGTTTGTCATAACCTACCAAACACCTACTACTCACAAGCTGACTGTTTTAATAGTTAAACGACCGGTGAAAAAGGAGTATATATTTATTATTGATTGTGAAACCTACATAATTTTAGTAATACATAATTAACAAGAAAGCAGTTAGTGAAGATAAACCATTGAAACGTCGGAGCGATACAAGTCAATGATATGCTGGAGTAAATTATTCCCACAAAATATTCACTCAAAAGTAACCAAATTAGAATTACTATAAGTGATTTGTGGAGATTTTCATGAATTACAACACTCATCGATCTCGGATAAATGACGACGGAAAACCAAGAAGAACCAGACAAGTAATTCGCTCTAGTAAGGAAGTCTTTAGTAGTGTCAATTCACGACCCAACTGTTTGTTCAATAGCTGTCTAGCCAAGATCAATGAGTAATGTAATCAATGCAAAGAAGAATTCTCAATTAATGAAAACCGAGTGTGCGTTGATGAAATAGTTTTGTAGTGTCAGTTATTATGGCAAGCCCATATACCTTATTCTAACTTCCGGACATCCTATTTTATTCATTTTACTTGAGCATATTTTGACCTTGTCAATTATTCGCTTATTAGCCTTGACTGTTTTCATATGAGCGTATATGTGTGTACACTCCATATCCCATGATTCATCACATGTCTGTAGTTTATTTTGTCTGCCTATAAATAATGAGTAACGCTTAATTAAAATGGAGTTGGCTTCCCAGCCATCTTCCATACGTGTGATTTTTGCTTTACTGTGCTTCATTCGCTTCATTCGCTTCATTCGCTTCATGTACAAAATATATGTATTCACAAATCAATTCTCGTTATTCGACTTATTTAATTCCGTTATTGGCTAACGCGATTAAGTCGACGAGGATATACGAGAATAGGAGACAACAAACATTCGTACGCTCTAAAATAGGAGTCAGATTCACGGGCTCTTCAGTTTTCTTTAAGTAAAAAAGTTGATTCTGTATAGCATCTCATAAAGAGGAGTTTAACTTGGATGGAAAGAATCATGAAACGAAAGCATAAAATTTTAAGTAGTAACCTTTTCCAAAGCTTTCATATGACAAACATGGGGCTTTTTAAGCACTTTTTAAACTGTAGATCAGAATGATGAAGGAAATTCTTTTGCATAAACACAATTCACACATAACTCTAATTACTCAGTGGCAGTAAGCAACGTAAAAACTTTAATACACAGGAGGAATATTTTTCTTATCAAGAATAATATATCTCGAGTGAAGTCCGGAAAGTCCTAGAAGTAGTTTACTTATTAAGTTCTAACAGTTAAAAAGTATTGAGATCAAACTTACCGAATGATATACAGAATAAACATTACCATAAAATTCTAAACCACCAAGAGCTAATTGTTTGCCACCATCTGCATTTGTTCCAGTTGTTTGAATTTTAAAAAAGCGCCAACCTTTTATAGATTTTTTAGTACATGCTGTGTTCAGTGTTGAAGAAATTGTTTCAGTTTTATCACAATTATAATTATTATGATAAGAATTTATACTCCATGTGGCACGACTACCTGAAACTGATTGAATACTTGAATCATTGTTATGTTCACGTAAAACAATCCAAGTTATAGCGTCATTGGAAGCCTAGTAGTTTAATGCAAAGAAAATTAGATGGTAAATTACCACTTTAAAAACAAATTTAAATAAAGAACCCCATGCATCCCACAGGCTTTAGTAATTCAGCGGTTCAAGCCTGAACATTGTGTGTGCAAAACTAGTGTATGCGAAATCTCTCATTATAGCACCATCCCTTTTGGACAATTTTTATTTGATGATCAGTTATTATTAGCTTCCTTGAAATTTTTATGTTTACGGTTCAGTTAATATTACTTCACTGTTTTTATTTTTTTTATAAATATGTCAAGTAGACAATTATCTTTCGGATTTCTTATCAATAAATTATTCTGATCTTACAATTTGTATTCAATGTTTAGATCAAAACCTCCTTGTGAAAATTGAGTCGCTGAACACTTTATAATGTAGTCATTTTCCTTTAATAGACCACTAGACATCTGTTAAATCAGACAGATGTTTTGTCGAAGTATGGCACTCCTAAGCAGTGCCCATCCACGACCCCGGAAATAGGAATTGAACTTATGACCTCCGGTGCCGCGCGAACGCTTAACCTTCGAACGAATGAGCTATGATCTAGTGGTGCACAAGTCCAACTTCAATCGGTCCACGATACTCCAGAGTCATCTTCCATTGTCTTCAGCGAGTAACTTTCACATACCCGACACGTTTGAACTTGACTGATCACAGCTTCTCGCTAGAACTGGGTCAGAAAAGTCCCATATTAGGATAACGACCGTCCAACGCTTCTACGCTTTAATGGCTATCCAACTTAAATCAGTTTGTGATTTCAATAGGGTATTCGTTTGTTTATTTATTATGTACCTCCTGATAAGTCTTGTTAATTTGAACGCTTTATTCGGTTCCTAAGCTATTCTGATAACCCGCAAGCTAAAACTACGCAGCGACCTGAACTCAAGAGAAAAAGCGCAAAATAAGCGAAGAACACTTTACTCCAAAGGTTCATTTTTGTACAGAAAAACACCGGAATTTATAGATGTTAACATTTATTAAACCAACATAATATTTCGACCAATCCGCTAAAAGACATATTATGCTACTGACCAATAGTAGCACGCCACGTTGATATTCTAGGGAGCTCCATCATGCTCTGATTGGCTAGGACTCTTCGTTGCAGTTCTCGGAAAGCCGACTCAACACCTCCATAATTAAATACTTTAACTATCGTTTTACAATCAATGGCAAAGTAAATAGTTGTTGAAGTATTTAACTAGTAAGTCATTACCCCTAAAGAAAGATCAAAAAGATGAGGCCTATGTTAATTCACTGTGAGTAAAACGATCATGAGCTCATCAAATTTATTCACTAATTAAAGACTACCAACATAAATACTTTAATCGAATTTTTGAAAAAAATTGGTATACTCGGTTTTAAGTTGGGACCAGATTACTTTACTCGATTAACAGAAACACAACTAACCTCTAATTTCCAATTCCTAGGTGCTAGTGAGTGTTCTGAAGCATCAGCTCGTCTTAAATAAGCTAAAGTATATGCAGTCGGTATTAATTGTAAACCTAAATCAATTGCTATCCAAGCATGCGTTTCATTCTCCATGATATTAACCGTAGAAAATGAAGTATAACTTGATTTCTGATCTGACATCGATTTTTTGCCTCGACTTTCATTTTGACTAGATCCATTAGAACAATTCATACGTTTCGGTTTAACTACCACTCCTATTCCACTACCTCTGATTGTATAACCACCAACTAGAGCTCCTGCTTGAGGTCCTAATATTGAAACTGCTCTACCTTTAACAGGACTACTTGTTGATGCAGCTATACTAACCAATCCAACAATAGCTGGATTAATCCAATCTTCTAAAGGACGACGATTACCATTAGTTGCAAGCCAGTCGATTATACCACCAAGATAATCAGCTGAACTATTTCCAGGTGGAGGTGCAGGAAAGTACAACCCGGCGGTAGAATTAAAACTGTTTGCTAAATGAATTTGACTCCATAAACTAAGATCAAGGCGAGAACATTCATACCTAACAAACAGGTAAATAATTAAAAAACCTATATTAGACCTCTAAAATACGAAAAATATATATTAAAAGAAAATATAGATGGATGGTGACTAGCAGTGGAATCCAGGATGCGCGTTTTATCTTATTTGGGACTCGTCAGCTGGTTGTACCTGCATTCCAGAGTTGATGTTGACCTTGCAACTCAAACAGTAAAAAAAGTGGCTGATCAATCGCAGTCTTAAACATCAATAGAAAGATTTAAATATCCAATACAGATTTTTTTAAAATCAGTTTAGAAAATTACTCGGAAATCGATGTGTCACGAACGTTTTTACAACAAATCAAATGATCGCTATCACACGACATTAATATTGAACAGCAATAAACTACAAAGTATTTTCGTGAAAAAAAACTATTCGTAAAAAGAATTGCTTAAATTAATATATTCCAGTATTCTCTTGTTACCATTCTGCAATGGCAAATAAACGAAAATGCCTAATATATTTGTTACAATATCACTACTACTGGTCTGAAACATTATACTAAACAATATGAAAGTCAATAACAGATTATACCCAGTGTACTTTACTAATCAATATCATTTGTAAACAGTAGAGTATTTTGGATAAAATATCAAAGAGCTCTATTGATGTATAGGCCACAGTGTTATCAATGGCTATTAACTATTGTTTATCGTACTAAAGATAGAGAACAAAAGAATATGAAATTGTTATTATCATTACTACACAATATTCTTAACCCAATACACAGTGTGATTTGCAGTCCTGGTAATAATAATAATAATAATGAGCAATAAAATAGTAAATAATACTTCAAAAACGAAACTTCACTTTAAAAGTGCGATCTGACAGATTATAAATTTAGAGCATAGAGAATAAAGTAAACAGTAGGAGAACTGAATGTAGATAAAGCACCCAACTTTTGAACATTCACAAAACAGATTACAAAGCCATTCAACCTACTACTTTAGTTCTAGCAGTCAGGTACTGTAGCAACCGTAAAGGCAGGATTGTGGCAAGTACTGTTAGTTTGAAGAAAACACCAAACTGCCTCCATATTCCTGTACAGTTAACAGTACAACATTGACCTCGAACAAAACGTTTAATACTTTTAATCTTACGGCTCTTCAACTGACTTGTATGGTATGGTAAGACTTACAGGAACGAATGTTCCAGACAATATAGCTCGGTTTGGTCATCACGATAACGGCTACGGTCAACAAAATGTAGCGAAGTTTAAATCAGGACGGTTACACACCACCCAGTAAATTCTCAGTAGCAAGATATTGAGTATCGTCATCCTTCATAATATACACACACAAGTTCTAATCTAGTAAGTAACTGTGTGTATAGTTTGTCACCATCATTTAAATAAAATCTACATCACAACTACATAATTCTACCAAAAATATATGTAAATACATAAATCAATTAGCTTACCATTGTTTTGTTGACATACGATTAAGGAAACGTTCTAATTGGCCAACAGTCGCTAAAGGGCTTACAAAAAGCAATTTACCACGCCAATTATATAATCGTTTCGATTTATTATGATGTAGTTTATTCTCTGTAGTAGTACTATCGCTATTATTACTCTTCAACTTGGCAGCCGATGGTAGGTTTGATAATTTATCCAAATATAAAGGTAGACGTTTAGCAATTTGATGCAGACTAGGCATAAAACATGAATCAAATTCTGGATAATCCAAGAGAATAGGACAAAAACGTAGCAGAGCAGCTAATTCTTTAGCATCCATACTATCTTGAAATGGTTGTTTAACAGTGATAGAAACTGGATCACCATGATCTGTATAAATGCCTGAATGCCAACGATTAAATGAGAAATTAATAAAATTAATTGGCAAAGATGCAGAATAACCGATTTTATTTATTAAATTAGTGGGCGGAATATAATTTTTGTTTGTGTTTTTAACTGTTTTATTATCACCATTTATATTATTCCTGTCTAGTTTGTGATTTGATGTGTCATGATGATCTGATGGAGTATTTGTAAATGATGATCGTAACAGATGAGCTGCAGAAAATAATCGTAGTGGAAGATGTTCTGTTAATTCAAAAGCTTGTACTAAACGTCTAACAAGAAGTGATATACTTTTTGACTTTGAATATGATAACATATTTAGTATAAATACTCTTCTCCTCTCTTGAAGATACCACAATAAAGCTGTTGTATTATCCAATTCCATAGAGAATATCTATATGTAGATAAAATAACGAAATACACCAGATAATATATGGATGAAAACCAAAATACATTAATGAACAAGAGAAATACAATACGATCGAGAAAAATATTCTGACCCAATAGCCTAAAAGTATTTTACTCCTTGCAATATTTACAAATCTTCAAGTTCGATATTACGTAATGTTTTGGATGTGTATTACTGAGTGAACTTTAATTATAACAAAATAGTTGTTCAAGTCTCCATAGTTTTCAATAGCTTTCCAGATTATATTACTTTATGTGATAAATAATAACTCTTAAACTATGCGATTTTCCACAAAACATAAAAAAGAATTCTCGTAAAAACTTAAAATATTTTCTTCGAACAATAATTAAGTTGATCTCGAAAATCAAATCATTCAAAAAAGATGTAATTCCATATATATAAATAGATGGACTGACCATCTCATGACTAAGGCATTCTACTTCCAACCACTAAGTTGCATGTTCAAACTCTTCTTTTACCTATTTGAGTTTAGATAGCCACGTAGTATCATTAGCTCTTATACTTAAAGTACAGTTTGAAGCTAAATACATATATTTGTACATATTAACTCATTTGAGTTCTTAATAGTGTGCATACAAACAAAAAGATAAACAATGATAAACTTACATGACAATACCAACGACCGGCATGTGCAACAGACAAGCATAATAATAAAACTTGTATTAAACCACTTGTAGTTAATTCATAAGCTGTAATTGTTTGTTCACCTTCATTTAATAGATTGGATAAATTTTTAAAAACAATAAATAATTTATTCAATGTTTCATTGAATGAATAATCTTTATCTGTTTTAAATATATCCCATATTTGCATAACTATTAGTTTAATTCTATTTAATGCATTAATTGGTCCAATTTTATCAATAATCCCTGACAATGATGATGGTGATGGTAATGATGATGATGACGATGTTATTGATAATGATGTATAATTAGTTGAAGATAAATATGAATCAATTTGTAATCTCTCTAATAATTGATTAGCTAAAGTTAACATATGTTTTCTTATGAGAATAAGACGTTCAGTGGTTAATTCAGATCGTGAATCATCACTATTACATAAGTAAAATAGAAAGAGAAAAAGGATGTAAAATGAAGAAAACAAGGAATAAATTTTTGAAACTTTTTATAGTTTTTATAAACTATAGACTATAAAATTACAGAAAGAATAAAAGAGAATTTTTAACGACTCTAATCAATTTCGACCATTATTACTAATACAGACTTCATAACTGAACTGTTCAGATTGTTAGACATCATCTGTATTACAACATTAATATAATACATGTTTCTAAGTACATGGCTTAAATACACACTTTTTGGATGACGGTTAATAACATTATTTAACATTCTCAAATCGAAGTAGGTGGAGTATCGTCTGAAGCTGAGACCTCATATTGTGAAAAACCAAATCCCTTAACAATTAAATCCCTACTGAAATTTATGATAATACAAACAAGTTTGTTGGTGCACAATAATATTAATGCTGATTAACTTTCATAGTTTTGAAGCTATAAATTGACATATTTAACATAAACAAATGATTAATGAGAGATAAATAATATCTCCAACCTAGCAGTTATTCTTAGCTGACAAATATACATTGATTGGTCACGAAGTAACGACTAATATCATATTTGCTGTCATTTAGTGCTGATCAGACTCTATCAATAAAGTTATAATGTGACAAATAGTCTAAGTGACTAGACATAATATTTACAATGTTTTGATGTTAGGTAGCTGAGGTTAGTCCATAGGAAACTGTGGACCTAGATTTTTTGCGGATTGGCACATGTAACCAAGATATACCTTCAATACAGCTTGTAAACTTTATGTTCACGGCTTTGTTAAGTTGCAGGACATATCAGCAACTTTTAAAACAAGCAAAGATGACAGTTAAACACCAAAAAATCATTAGTAATAACTACGTTCTATGATCTAACACATCTCGATAGTCCACAAAAACTTCAGATATTCACCAAACCCACAGAGGTCTTAGAGCCTAAAACTAATCATTTGTTTTAAAAAGCATAACATTAAAATAAATGGCAGTGGTTTGAACATCCTGAGCAATAAAAAAAACAACCAAACACTTTAATAGAGTAAGATAAACTTGAACCGAAAAAAATTGTACCTGATACTACCAAATTTACGTACAACTCATTTCGTTTGTTCAAACCTGATTAGTAGGTCATTTACAAACCTATAATACTAGGTTGTACTATTTCTCATATAACTAGTGGGGTGTAAGTTTACTATATAGACGTATGTACATGCTTCGTCTGTAAACGTCTATTATTTTACATATGGTTTGTTTTCACATATAACCTGATTCACACCTAACTCATTAAGTTGGCTGATGTGACAAAGTCCAAATCACACGCTCTCTGCCCTCCTACTGTAAAAGAAGGCAATAAGTAGAAGGGAATCTATATTTTTGAGAGAAGTTACAAAGAATTAACATAATGCATAAACATAGCCTTCAATCATTCATTTCCATCTTTCGATGTGTTCTGAGATCTGAACTGTCTTCTCGTCTAGTCTTCAAGTGTTCTGTTTATTTCATTTGGTTTTCTCATTCAACAAGTTTGGATGAGCTACAATCGCTTATTGATAGTAAACATATGTAGATAACTTCAAATGGTTAAAATGCAATCTCTAGTGAAAACGATATTTTCTCAATGAAACACTCATCCACTTACTAAAGGGAAAAACGTTCAAAATGGTAGATATTGCACTTATATAAAACATTGAAAAAGGATTGTTATCCTCATACATAATGAAATTAGAACGCAGTTGTAAAATCCACTTACTCTTCTGTACGCAACAAAACAACCAATTGCCCACTATTATATGTTTCATGGATAATTTCATTAGGAAAAAATAATTTATCAATTCTCGACAATTCCATATTAGTAGCAGTTGTAAGCAATTGATCAGTTTTACTAAATTTATGGTCGCCATCATTATCGTTTTCATCATCGATAAAATCAGTTGTATTATTATTTTCAGTAGGTGTTTCAAATGATGTTGTATCACATAAATTTAAATAATCCATACCTATATTCAGTGTATCTGAATTGATCAAAGAGTCAAAATCGAAGATTTCCGGTATACTCTGAGAATAAATAGAAGTGCTACATACAGTAGGAGTGGTAATATTGGCATTGACACTACTACTATTACTACGATTAATAGTAGCAGTGGAAGAAGTAGTAGCACTAGTAATAAAAGGTGTATAAGACATAGTCGGTGGTAGGTCAAGTTGTGAAAACATACTTATGAAACTTCGTGAATGTCGTTTGGTTGAATTTAACAATACATTTGGATTAGTTTGTGTTTTTGATTCTGCATTGTTAGACTCTGTATTTGTATTGACAGATGAAACTGGTTTTTCTTGACTAACCGAAGCAATACGTACACGTTTGAAACCACTACAAGAATTCTCAGAAAACAACAACGCTTCATTGAAAAAGGATTTTGAATTACAGACTGTAGGTGCGCGTGGTTTTACAGAAACATATGTTCCATCTTTTCGTTTCAACAAGCTACAAATTATTGAACCAAAAGACACCGAAGTAGTTGAAGTTAAAAGACCAATACTCCCAGTGGGATTAGACTGAATTGGAATTCTTGTTGAAAATCTCGAAGTAAGGCAAACACGAGCTGGTGATGAAGCTTGGCGTTGAAGCTTAGATGTATGACCTCCCATTGTTGTAGCTGCTAAATTGATAGAAATAGGATCATGACGCAGACCTAGGCGTCTACGAAAACGTCGTGCATTATTATGTGAAGCTTCTAAATTAGATAAACTAGAATGAGTTAGTATATTTAATTGTGTTTGTTTTTTCACAGAATCCAGTTGATTTATTTGTTCTCTACCTTCATCATTCTCTGTAGTTTGTGCAGTTTCAGTATCAACATCTTTAAACAATGGTGTAATAGTGATATTACTATCAATAAGCTCCATTAAATGTTGATGCATGCGAAGCATTCGTGATTTCAAACCTAGAAATTTTAGAAACAATTACGGTATTCAAAAAGAGACACGTTAAAATGAATTCAAGGAAATCTTGTATGAATTTTATCTATACAATATGAATTTCTACCACACTGAATAGGCTAAACTATTAACATATTGGTTGTTTTTGGAATAAAAAGAATTAGTATGAAATATGTATCGAACAAACCTAGAAGCTTTTATTAAATTGGGATAATGACTCGTAGTGGAATCAAGGATGTGAGTTTTGTTCTACTTACAACTCGTCAAATGATTGTGCTTGCCATCACAAATCACATTTGTACATGATGCACAAGCCACCGGCCATCTAAACTCAGCGTTTAGGATGAAATGTAGAGGATCTCGAGTTTCTAAGAGAACACCAACACAGAGATGAGTCCAGAACAGGGTGAAACGCACGTCTCGGACTTCGCCGTTAGCCACTATCATAATTTAATAACAACTTGTGACCAAACAGAATTATCAAAGCACTCCGATGAGGATAAATATATACCAACCGAGACTGATTAATTGTGGTCTATAACATCAGCAACCGGAAAATACAAACTCTTAAAATTAAAATCTTCAGATCAAACTAATAGAATAAAGACTTATTAAATACACTGACTAGTTACACAAACTCAAATGGGAAAAAATTGTTGAAATCCAAGATGAAATGGTTGGAAAATCCAGTAACTAAACTTATACATTAGTGTCATTCATAAAGAATAAATGAATCGAAGACCAACATAAATTTAGCTAAATACCAACTGGACACGTTTTTGAGAATCAAGAAGTCGTACAGTAGATCTAAATATTTTACAAATAAATATGATTCCCTATACTGAAACGCAGTAGTAATCAGGGTGAAAAATCTACATCAATATTTACTGGATAAAATGTAGCTTAGCATTATAATATGAATTAACTAGCCTACTCCTTGTAAATTAGAACAGATAACTTATACTGAGGACATTAGATATATCGGATGCTTAATAAATATTTAGACTTATTTTCTAAACATTTAGGCAACAAAAATTTTATCTTTTTTTAAAATAATCTTCACTTGTGATAATAATATGTGTCAAATATGAAAGAATTGTAACTCGGAGGTTAGTTGATGTAAAGAAAATAAAGATATTTACAGAATTACAGGCGGTCTTGTAGTTCTACGGCAATCGAGAAAAGATGCTGAAATCGGTAATAACTTTGAGAATTATTCAATCAAATTTAGGAAAAGTAAAGTGAGTTGCCTTCTGGGACTTTCTCGGAAGTTTCCAAAAAAAAGTTGAATGGTCGAAGTATTCTTTTAAGATTTCCCTGAACATTTCTAAAGATCTTTTAGAAAAATTATGGACAATTTTCAACAAAAACTATACGAACTCTTAACAAAACTACTTTAGTAGACAATTTTTTAGTGTTTCCAAAAATCTCAATTTTCACGGTGAATTTCTACATTCATAATCGGGATGATTAAAGGTGATATATATTCGTCAAGTGTTACACGAACGAATATACTGGAAAATACTTCTAAAATCTTTCTCCTAAATTGGGAAGTAAATAATAGTGAGTAAAACCATGAATAATAATAATAATAATAATAATAAACAGTAACAGAAGTTAAAGGGTCAAAGGAAAACAATCGAATATCTTATTGTTATTTTTAGTAGTGAAATGCTAATTCAATTAAGAGATGAAAAACTTCCATTTTAGCTATCATTCGGTTATATCACCATTGAACATGGTTAGTAGAAGGTATTAATTATGCATTATCATAAGACACATCCTCATACATATTTCGAAAGCGCTCTTTAAGTAGTCAGTGCTTAATTTACATCACATTCGTTGAAAGTATTGTTTAGTGCATTAATTAGACTTACTAGGACGTGAAAATGGATTTTCACCGGGATGTAACTGAATTGGTACTGGACTGTTTCTATGTGTAGAATTATGAATACACAGTACACGTAAACCACCATCTTCTGGTTGTAATTGTATTGTAATAAAAGCGAATCCATTGAAAATTGATAATAATTGACCCATACAGAAAAAATACCATCCATTCCAATTGTAAAGTTGTGCATCTAAGTGGACACGTTCAGATATCTGAAAAAAAAATAATAATAATAACAAACCGAACCGGTTGAAGCGGACTTTTAAGGGAACTTGACAAACTCTTAACATATTCAACCAATCAAAATACAGTAAATATAGATGAATGATTTATGACTAGAATTTAGGTTTAGGAGTGGGATGGAGAGCTTGTGAATAATAGTTAGCATTTACGAATTCACATCAGATATTAAGATTAGTCTGTATCCACCTTAAATCCCAACCTTAATATATTAATCTAACCCTAATTAAAAACTACGTCCTAATGCTAAACCCTAATCTTTAACTCAACACCTTAGTCCCAATTACAACTCTAACCCATGATTTTTAACCCTACATCCTAACCCTAAAGTTCAGATTTTAGTCCTGACTCTAAACTCAAGTATCTTATGATAGTGAGTCTAATTATTCGCAATACAATCAATGGGTGACAATAACTCTGTGAGATTATCTTTTTACTATCGGCAAACGACATGCTACTTAAAACATTTTTGCTCTAAAACCTTGAAATGAAATCATATAGTGATAGTGTAATGGATTTACTTCCCATTTAGTTGTTGGGAGTGTGAAATCCTCAAATACGGCGTATGAGGGAGAAAATAAATGTTAAAATTCGTGCACCGATATCAAGAGATTTTAGTTCAGTTAACTATCAAAGAATTTTCATCGTATAAAATTGTTCAGAGTGAATTTCGTTAATCTGCTTTCAGTGGATTTCCAACTGTATCAAGTCATTCAGCATGAAGTTAGTTAATCGATTTTGAGGTATCTTCATAGTATCCATAAATTCATTTTGGTTTTGTATAGGGAATCACTCAGTTTGATAAAATTTTACACTTAATAACCATTGAATTAGTTCTTATATATAAATGAATTAACTTGACAGTGATTTAATTATTTTGGTGTCCATCAAGAAACGTTCCTAGATAAACTTGAGCTTCTCACTCCAGTTATCTGGTAGAGAAGACGAAGATAGAACCAATCTTCTCATTATATTGAAGTTCAATTTCTAAATAACTGGTTTAGTCCATAAATGTATCACCAATTCAATTTTTCAGTCATTCGATGTCATACTCATTAGGTATATCAGTATTATGGGGATTGTCAACAATCCACAACATTGAGAATTAATAAAACTCGACAACTGAGTACAGGTCTGTCTATTTGACTCAGAAGAGATCTATAGTATGCATAACAGCTAGTAAGAATAGCCAAATGCCAAAATAATTCAATTCAACAGGCTGGATAAATAAAGTAAATAGCTATCAACTTTTAGGTTGCAGATTCATGCCCTGTTTAGATTAAGTTGAGGTCTCAACAATTGAACAGTAACATCAACCAGAACTGGGACATAAAAACTATCACATAAATCCAAGTGTGCAAATATGTATTAATTACATTAATTATTTTAAAAAATGCTCATTATTACTCCAGATAAAACACTTAGCACATGTTCTTTTATCTATAACACATAAACATCTGGGTACAATGAGGCACTGGAAATGCCCTAACATGTGATATATATATATATATATATATATATATATATATATATATATATATATATATATATATATATTACCATTGGGTTTTGACCTTAATAGGATTTAACATTACATGTAAACTACTAAATAACATATAATGGTGATATAGAACATGATGTATTTCATTGCAGTGTATAAACAATTTCTATTTGAAAGATCAATAGTTGTTTGTTTGCTTTAACCAACTAAGTTTGTTTTGATTTCTCCGCTTAAATTTTCTTTTTTTAGTTCAATGAAGGAAGAGTTAAACAGTTTTATCAAACAAATAACTATGCATAATTAGACAGCGTTCAGATCATATGATTTTATATTGAAGTGGAAATAATCTGTTAATAGTACATAAAAATGAAATATATTTCACTGTTCTTTGACTGATACCTGACAAAAATGATTTCTAACACTAAATCGTCAACTAGCAGGTTATTTATGATTTTTAAGAACAATTACTGTTTAGATAACACCTGCATAATAAAAGCTAAACAAGATTTTAACCGAGATAAACAATTGACAAAGAATAAAATAAGACTTTTGGTGCATAAAATAAACACATCAATGAACAAATAGCCTCTATCTACTTGAAACGGATAACCCATATCCTAAATTAATGATGTACATAGGATTCCCCAGAAGATTGTTCAAATGTCTTAACTGAGAAAGAGCTTCTACACATTGAATAAAGTGAAATGACATATATAGCTTGACCAAATCGTAATTAATCAGACAGTAAGTAGCGTTCGTAAGTAGTCGATCAGCTTTCCCTAACACAGAAGTGGAAAACACTTCAAAAAGATTGGTCGCAACTTGTGTTTCAACAGCCAATGCGCTATTCACTAAACAACTGAGTGTAGATAACCACTAACTTGTTTAATACCTATGATATTTAAATTCTTATTAATAAGTTTTGAATTACCCCGTTGTTGATATCTAGGGCTGAGTTTTGATCAGTCTTTGTTAGTATATATGTATCCAGTGTGACAACAATCGAATAATTCAGTGCTGATCATACTATTCAAAAGGTCACACACACATAGGGAAGAACAAAAAAACACTATGCTCTAGCTTATTGATGCGATTACTTGTAAATGTGAAAACTAAGCATAATCATTAAGGGTGCAGCTACACAACAACCACACGACACAACAATACTGACCATAAAACGATGAAAATACTACCAAAAGGAAACAGAAAAAAGTATACCCATACATTTTTATTTTTTATAATGAATACAGGTTGATTATTAACTAATCAATACATGAATATTTTCCAATGAATTTTCCTATAGTTAAATACAATAAGAAAAACGTTTTCGTGGTCATGTGATAGGCTTGACTGTTGCATTGGAAAATAACATGATGTTTATGCATCCATCACGCATTTCTGATCAATCGTGATAAATTTTTTAGTAGACAATATTTAAATAGTTGCATACTGAAACTAAACAAATTGACACGATGTAATATCCCCGATATTAAACGCTTTTATACATATAGATATTTAATAAGAAAAGGAGAATTCAGCTGAATTCTATGGATTATTTTAATTATATAGATATTTCTTTTATTATAGTAATAAACAATAGAAACTCATTCTTGTTTGTACCGTGATCACGACTAACTAACTTAATAATTTCACAATGCTTTAACAGAATACTAAGTTAAACAATAATTCATATTTATTCACCATTACCTAATGAGCATAATGTTACTGTATATTACAGAACTATGAAAGAAAGTGAGAAAGCAGCAGAAAGATAAATATCAAATTGATTTCTTAAGTTATACTTATTTAACCTGTTTATTTTGAATTTAACAAACCTCAAGTGAATAAAACTTACAGAAGTAGACGGTAAAACTGGTTGGTGCTGTTGTTCTTCATCTTCATTTGCTGGTGTAGACAAAATTTCAGGCATGTAATTTTTGCTTTCATTCAAATTGACATTCAACTCATCATGAACTCTTTGTTTCTCAATATTTTTAACTGATTTCGATTTGTTTTCTTTGTCAGTTACTAACGTATTCTTTAATGACAATTCTTCTATTACTTCCTTTGTTTTTGTACTTGTAGTAGTAGTAGTAGTAATCGAGGGAGAAATAGTTAGTTTTATTGATGCTGGGACAGTAGTAGGAATTGTGGAAGTCATTACGGTAGTAGTACTTGTTGTATCAGTGGTTATCTTTGTCACAGAAGCTGTGCACACATATTTTCCCTCATTTTCGTCTGATGATGATGGCACGGATAACTGCTGTCCAGTATTAGTAGTGGGCGTAGCGACGGTGGTCACGGTGACGCCAGATTTATTTTCCGTTATTAACAAATGCTGTAATATATCAATGATAATTTGTATCAATGGAATTAAGCCCAAGCGATAGAATACCAAAATGTAAATATGTGGTGTTTTATTCAATAAACGGAGACTTAATTCTAATGCACGTGAAATTAATTCTTCTCGTTCCTGGAAAAATATGGCGAAAATGAATAAAACAAAAGAAGAAATAGTTATTTTATGTAAACAGTTATATGATTATTCACTGAGTAAAGAGATACTAAACTCAGTTATGTCTAAATAACATAAAACTTGGCAAAAATTATGTATCGGTGACACAGCTGAAAATTTGCAAGAAAAAAAAAAGCTGAATACACTTGCTCCACTTTGATTTGGAACCATGTCAGTTAACATCATCAAACCATAGATTACGAGAATTGCGCAGATCATAACCCGAAAGTCCGCAACTATGGAAACACAAGTTTAATCAAAAATTAATGACTTTATGGACTGATATCTTGTCCTCATTTGGTTACTCTAGACTTTCTACCAACCCACTACATTTCATAGTTCTTAAAGAATCTGACCTTCTATACCTATTAAAGTCTAAATTACATGGTTCTAGTACAGATTTATATACTCGGTTCTCCGCTAAGCTGTTTGTATGAAGGTTTGGTGATACTACGTAATTTGATCTGAGTTAGCCCGATAGAAGTGGATTCGAACGTGTGACCTAAATGGTCAAAATCCCAGTATATAAAGAGAAATAACAGTGGATCATATCAGTTTATAGTGCTATTAGTAAAATAACAACAAAAAACGACCAACTGCAACGTTTGTACTGACAAAAGTCGAAAAAAAAGTGGGTAAAAAGACAAATCAAACAACCTACTTCGATTAATATCGTATAAATCATTTGTGTTAATGAAAATGCGAATGGAACTGATTGATTATCCATCAAACTAATTTTTTCTAAGTGATCAGGTCGCATATACTGAATCATACGCCAAACTAAAAGTGTACACTGGTGCCTGTGAACAAATGATAATAAAAAGAATGAAAATATTGGAGTATAAAGTTTACTTTACATATGTAATTTATTTAATAAAGGGAAAATGTAAAATTCAAACTCGTTTGAAATGTAATACTTAGTCGAATATTAACATAGGACTTTAGATATGACTATAACTACCACCTAAAATTAAATATAACTCAAATGATCACACTTAAACAGTCTAACCAATATTAAATCCTACGTAGTCATAAGTAAGATCGCTACTTCTTATGAAACACAGTTTGAATTTACATACAAAATGATCATATGTAGTAGAGGTAATATATTATATTCCTCAATTTACTGGTCATAAGTCACCAGCTAGTCCGATTAGCAACAGAAATTTGAAACTCGACAGTACGCAACTTATGCGACTATACATTTGTTCAAACCATCTCCACACCACTTGGAACCTTACAACAAACTGTATAACTCAGTAATAAAAGTTATATGGTTTTGATATGTGGCCACTGAAGGTGTGATTGGCTACTATATGTGTGCAAAATAGACACTCAGTTTATTAACTATTATATTCGTAACTTCCTTTCGTATTTTTGATTTCTACTCCAGATCACTGAGTGTGTCTGCTTGTAATTGATTCGGATAAACATTTGTCTAACATGTACTCTGTATCTCCATTATTGGTCATGAATTTTGTCTGGTAAAACGTGAACCAGTTTATGCATAGCCGATCGATCGAGTATCTGGTCTAGTGGAAGCATAGTCTCAAACACCGTTTATAAGATTGTATCATAGTAATATACAATATATATTTCAATCCTAATATATCGGGGCTTGAATCAACTAGTACGTAATAAGATAAATTGTGAAACAAACATATATAAAGTACAATTATAGCATAAGATAAATTTTTCGCCGACAAGCAGACATTCATACAATTGCCTACCCTAACCAATAGGCAACAGCGGTTATTTATATGATCAACTAGTATAACACTCTTCAATATACTGGTATTACATATTTATTTGAACTGTTTTAAGTCATTCACTATTTTTATTATTAAATCAATACCAAGCACACATAACTTCGAGCCACACCTTAAGTGTGAGGGCAACTGACACTACCCGGTTTCCTAAGATAAAGTGGAGCGAGACGCGAACCTGTAACTAAATGACTGAAAGTCAAACACGTCAAATATTAAACCGCTCACTCCTTTATCTATCCGATTGTATGCAACAGTAAATATCACTATCTTCTTTTCACTGATCGCTAAATGACACAATTTTGTAAACTTTAGAAGAAAATAACATAAAACCTGTACACTGAAAACATAAAAGAAAGATGGCTTAATGATTGAATTTTTCAAGTTGCAATTATTATACTGTAAATTTTAAATCCTGACTTCATCAGATCCGTTTGGTTTAGGCGAAAGGATAATATCGTTAATTTTATACAAAAATATGGCTTGAAATCGTGAACACAAATCTCTACTTGACAGTAATAAAGGATCTAAATTAACATGAGTTGAAATGTAAAAAACAGCGAATAATATTCGTAATGATAATTGAATAATACAATTTTATCAATAAATCGATTCAACAGGTTCACTAAGTGAAATGGAGCATTCTTACTTTACAAGAAAAATTTTGTATAAACTACCTTACAGAAGATGTGCTTTCCTTAAACAATCCAACTAGCAATGGAAGAAGTTGATCAATAAATAAACATTGAGCTTCGGCAGAATCATTAGATTGAATCTCATCAGGCTTATGTTGAGTAGATGATGAACCAGGTGTTAGTTGTTTATCAGATTTATTTAACTTGGATGATAAACCCTTGAAACCAGCTCCTAAAAAGCGATATATATATATATATATATATATATATATATATATATATATATATATATATATATATTTGCAGTACATTATAAATAACGGTGTATTAAGAATATAACTTCTAATAAAGAATATACCTAGTTTATGAAGACAATCAACTTCATGCTACACAAAATCACTTAAATAAATAAATAGGAATTGTGTGCTTACTAACTCAATAATTTTCCCCAATATATCTAAACAAATATACACCTTTTGAGGAATTGAGTATGACCTAAGGTGGTATTGTTATCCGGGACATGAAATACAGTGTAGCAGGTCAGGTATCAAGTAAGGATAGCAAGTCGGTCGACGGAGTAGTGAGATGTATTACTCATGTCTAACCACTGCCTGCCCTGGTTTGCAAAGTTGGTTGGCGTGGGAATAGTTTACAAGAAAGTTAGTTTGGAGTAAAATCAAATGTGACATCAATCAATCAACCGCTATACTGAGACATGGGGGTAAGTTTAGATGACCTGGTTGGTGTCCACGTGAATATTGTGACCGGTAGTTGGGTGACATGGTTCAGAATCAGTTGTAATGACCCAGATGCACATATTTTTTTACCTTCTACTCTTGAATCCTGAGTTTCAAAATTATTTCACACCTTTTACTCTGGAAATTTACTTATTCTCCTTGAATTATATTGTCTATGAGAAATATTTCTTCACTATCACTGATACTGCTAATAGATCTACCACACTAGTATTCAGCTTGATAACTTCATATCTTTGTGTTGTCGTGATCTAGTAACTTGGATTACGGCAAATACGTGCCAAGTTTTAATATAAATGAAACAATCTTCGGTTGAAATTATTTTCTCCAGTTAGTGCAATCGAAATATCCGTATATGTCTGAAATCTTTTACGATCATAAGTAAACAACTGGCTTCTATGTTGAGTGAATAAGACAAAGTTGATCCCAAACCCTTAATTGTGTCACTAATTACTTTGTTTTTTCAAATTTGTATAGCTATATGTGTTCAAAAGTGACAATATCAAACAAACTAACTATATTTTGTACAGAACCAAAGTATATTGTGATCCTCTTTTAGAAAATATACTCTTATTCACAAACATCATTAATAAAAAAAAGATTGATCACACATTCAACTATGAAAATGTTTACATGGAAACAGAGCAAATAAAATCAGTATCACTGAAAAATTCACTCACTTTTTGACTCGGATTCCAATAAATCGATTACTTGTTGTGAACCAGGAAAATCAGGATGTTCTCGAGCCCTATCTATGGGTTTTCTACCTTGTACATCTTGTTTGTTAATATCAGCGCCCCAATTAAGTAAAGTTTTGCATATTTCAACACGCCCAAATGAAGCTGCATAATCTAAAGGTGTACGAACACCTAAGTTCACATTCGCACCATGTGTACATAAAAGTTCAACCATAACCGGAGAACCGAATGATGCAGCCCAATTTAGCAAAGTTTGTCCTAAATGATCCATGTAATTGACATCAATTTTGCCCGACTTTAAACTGCGTTTCATAAAATCTAAAAGAATTTGACAGAATTTCAGCGTGATTAGATTGACGAAAATATTGAGTTAATATTTTTTATCTTTATTGAGGTAATTGAAAATATTTCTTCCGAAACTTTTAAAACTAATTGTACTCACGACTGAATTAACTACAAAGATGGGTTTCGCCAAGTTCCATAGAAAATACATAACCAGGGGAGTGAGCTAGTAATTCATTGATGACATTACAAGAAAACTGTCTCATATTACACGACGACTGAAGTTGTCTGCATTGTAATGGTGTTTGCTGTGAGATACTAGGGTTCTAATTTCAATCTTATACTACTAAGCTGTGGATGAAGAGTCGATAAGCAAAAAAAGAATTTAAAGCAGTTAGTCACTTTGATAAATTTCGATAGTGTAATAAGAAGACGAAGATTATCAGAACTATGTGATATATTAGTGCAATACATTTCGAACAATCTGATCACACATATACTTGTTAAGAACATTTATATATAAAAATAAAAGGTTAACTAGACTAAAAATGGAGGGTAAGAGGAAACAAGGGTAGTTAAAAAATAATGTGAAAACAGTTTGAAACCCCATCACTCTGGATAATAAACTAATATTACCCTGGCAATATTAGCTTATTATTATATTACACAGTTTGACAATCTTCGTCTTCTTATTACACTATCGAAAAAAGACTTGTTAAGTAGTCCCTGACTTTCAATGGTCGCCCAGTTGACAACAGCATAATGAAGACCGCCTTGCAATATAACCGCATACCTTGAAATTCCCAAGTACCGGTCATACTGTTAGTTATTAGTATTAGAGGCTTGTAAAGATCGTTGAATTTCACATCAAGAATGACCTTAGTTAGACAACTGATGAAAATCAGAAAGCAGTAGACAGTCCCACTGTGATCAGAGGTGTTCCAATATATTGGATGTGAGGCGGTTATCCATCGATGACACTGGAAGATAGTTGTCCAACACAATGAATTGATAGAAAATAGAAATGCGAACCACTGGTTTAAAGGTTAAGCACTCCAAGAGAGAAGTGGAGACCCAGAGTTCGATCCCCAGTTGAGCCGAGGATGCTCATTGCCGAAAAAACCTAAATACTTGGAGAAAAGTCCTCAGGTGCTTCCCAACTTCACTGTTATCCAACTAAGCACAGTTCGTTATGAAGACTACAGTCGTTAGTAATTTCCTCGTGAAATCTTGATACTGTTTTCAAACTACAGTCGGTGAAACAAGACTGATTAACTTTCGAGCGAACAACTTATGGTATGCTATACATTATTTGGATAAAGTCAATCAAGTCGCTAAAAGCATATTCTACTGAGTAAATGTTTCACCAACTGCAGCGACAACCATCATAATAAATTAGAAAACATTCATTTTATGAAACATTAAAACATATGAAGTAAAATATAAAAAAACCCTCATGAATTTCGATAAAAATTGAAATACTATACCCAAATCCTGTCGTTTTATAGCCTCAATAAAATGACGGTGTATAGCATCGCCTTCCCAAGAATGCTGGGACTCTAGAGGAGGTTCAATAGTATGTTCAGATTGTGAAGTATTCTGTGAATTTTCCGCATGTTCGATAATTGATATAGAAGTTTGAAATTGATTTGATTTAAACAACTGGCTTTGCATTTGACTTTGTTTTGAAGTATCATCTTTCACAGCGTCTGGTAAAGTAGCTTTACAAACTTGTTCTTTTATTTGCGATGATTCACGTGATTTCAATTGAACATTTTGAGTTTGATATAATAGTACCAAGAGAATTTCAATTAGTCGCAGTACACTAAGAACAACTAATTCATCCGTGCTACGTTGAACAACCATTGCCAATGTCATAGCAAACTGGCCATCACTAGTTAGAAGTTTATGTGTTATACTCACAGAATTACAGCAAAGTGAAGTTAGAATATTAGTGACTGCATGAACTGCGACTGGATTACTTTCCGATGTGACTGAAGAAAAGCCATCACGACCACTCCCTGATGTGTCTGTTGACAAATCTGCAATGCAAAAGTCACATATCAAAAAGTAAAGTGAAACGTTTATGCTGGAAAGAATGATTTATATTTGAAAAATAAATAATTCAACAGTCCACGCTCATAAGTGGTTTCAAATGATAGTGTTAACATTTCACTTCATAGTGGATAATGTCTTCAAATTAAACAGTTCCTATGGTTCAGAACCTTAGAAGATTCATGCCCCCGAATGCCCTATTACGGCCGAGAGTGGGAAGAGTTCGCTCTCTCTCTCTCGAAATGCTCTCACACGGCCACGTGTATATAGCCTCTGCCAGGGAAGTCCTACTCACTGTCTTCTAGTGGCGGGGATGTTGTTTACAGAATTGAGAGGACGAAAAGTGAATGTCCGGCGCTTTAACCGGGTTGATGGACACGGAGAGTTCACCTAGAGGAGTTGAAAAACCCTGATTCCAAACCAATGGTCCACATGGGCCCCAGTACTCCGAGGGAACAAATGGTGTATGAACCATTCGTTGGTCACCAGCTACCATGGGACTGCATCTCCTTACGATGCTCCATTGTATTGTGGGTCAGACCTATAGGTCGAAGGCTCCGGGTGTGGTTCCCTAAGAAAACCACCTGCTTCGGTTTGGGCACCCAGGCAGTATCACAGCCCTCACACAAATCAAATGAGATTTGTGTGGCGCATATTTATCTGGTGCCCCCTTGCACCAGTATTTAAGCGTTCAAATAAATAATAAATAAATTGGAAGATTCATCCCAAAGAGTGATTAATGGACACACAATTATGAATTAATTAATGTGGTTCATTCACTTAGTACGTATCTAAGATTTCAGATTTCAGACATACTTTTATGTGAAAACTAGTGTTATTACCCGGCTGCTTAAATCAAATTAGATCAGGCGAGTTTGTAACAACTTACTACTTTCAATGTACAGTTGTGGAGATTATTCAGTTTTACTGAATCGATCAATGTTACACCAACAATGAATAAATAGAAGCATTAGATGGCTATTTGGTTCTAGTATAGGACTCAGTGCGCATCAACGACCCCGTACGCGAGAATCGAACCCAAAACCTTTGGCCTCACGCGCGAACGATTAACCTCTAAGCCACTGAGCCGGCATCCAACGGTGTTAATGTCTAACTTCAATCAACAACTTCTTGGTCAAGAGCTACTAAATTGATGTCCTACAGAATAATGATTTTGTGCAACTTGTTTCACAGTGCACCACTTCATTTACTTTCGATCAGTTATTCAGCTACAATGTAAGACCAGGCACATACATGCATCGGTTCAAGTTACCACACCTCAACATAAAATGAACATTGAATTCATAGTAGTCACTTCAATGGTAGTAATATATAAAAGAAAGATTGTGTATAAGGATGTGGTACAGGAAGGAAGAATTAGTTTGTAGAAAGAAATATAAAGCAATTTTAATCTTACAGTTCAAGGGAATACAAAGAGTGTATACAACCACACCATTGGGATTGATTCTGAGTCATTCATTCTGAGTCTCCAACCGTTGGTTACGATAGTCGCGCAGACCCCAACCAAGTAGTCTGCATCTACCAACACAGGTCAGACCAGAAGTTAGTGACTTTAAGGACTGATGTCACGTTTTGATTTGGACGCCGCTAACTCTTTCCATTCATTTTTTTATATTTAAATGGTTAAAACTAAAATTATTAAATAACTAGAAAACATGTAAGCATAAATCAAAACAAGTTTATTTACTGGGGCCAGATGAATCTGTCAATTCATTATCAGTTTCCACACCACCAGCAACACGAAGACGTTGAAGAAGACAATCAATAATATGAGAATCAGCAAGTGGACTTGGATCAGTACCCGTTCGAGTAAATCGAGCCACCAAATTAGCAAATGCACGTAATGCTTGATCAGCAACACCTGTTTCTCGACGGTCTAAGAGTGAACTCAACGCATCAATCCAACTGGTTACATTCTTGTCTGTTGGGTCTGCTCTGCTAAACAAACGTCTTATAATATCCATCCCAGCCTGCAGAACATCAGCATGAAGCAGATGTGGATAAAGACGTATATAACGTAAAACGGGAGTCAGTCCCCCGGCCATATACACGGCACCAGGCTCTCGTGTACAAATAAGCTGCAACATCTTGAGAGTTTATACACGATGATTAACAAAATGAGGATAATTTGATAAAAAATACTAATAGTCACATTTCAAATGAAAAAATAATCTAACTTTAAGTTCAAATAGACAAAGCAATCTAAAAGACATTTACACAGTTTCAAATGTTTTAAATCTTGGTTTATATCTTATTTACTCACTTAGAATACTGAATAAACTGCTATCAAAAATTTCCAATGAATGAAACTGTTGATCACAATATATTTAAAATAAAGAAACTTTGATCGATATTTGAGTAGATTGACATAGTAGTTGGAAATTTAATCTAACCTCGTTGCTAAATAAAACATCAACAATCAGTTTTCAACAAAAGTTAAGCGATCAAAATCCGACCGATTAGCTAAGAGGAAAATAAGCGATCTGAAACAACTTTGTTTGAATGAGTCTTTATTATGATTGATTGTCTGCACAACAATAATCCTTAGTGTTGTAGGTCCTCGTTACGTAAACAACGACTACGCGAAAGAAATCCACGATGTGACGAAAATATTCTCAGATTAACATGATACACAACGCGAAGCAGCCTGATTACAGGTTCAATCCAAATAGGTACAAACCAACAGGATAAGCACAGTCTAACAATTTTATTCAGACTTCTATGTACACTAGATCCTGGAAGTGGATAACAATGTCATTATGACTAAATCATGTTGTACATTTTAAGTAACATTAACTCGCGAAAGATTCAAAAGAAATATTTACTTTAATAATCTGCTGCCCAAGCTCATTACTCTTCGCAGATGTCATATCAACTGCATCTAATCTAGAAGTCATGGCTGTCAACACATTTGGCGACCGTGCAATCCGTGGGGCACAGTCCAAACTAACATCCAAATAGTAAGTGAGGGCCCGAGCATTTGCCTCCAAAACAGAGTCTGGAGCTAATTCATCCAAAAATATTTTACATAAGGCAGGTATGAAGAGGCGAGGTGGATAGCGCTCAAAGAAAACATCAACATTGTCCGAGAAAAGAACTTCATTGCACAGTTGTTCCAATGCAGTAAGTTGTAACTCCCTAAGTTCGTCGTTTACGGAGTCCAACCATTCCAGAACTATTGCTGGGTCAGCTTCCATTGAGTCGATTTAGAAGTGACCCTAGGTATAGATTAAAGAAAATACGTAAAAATTATCAATTTTGACAAAAGACATCCTATGAATTCAGAAACGTAAGCAAAATCTAAGAACCAAATACTTGAAATTTACACAAGTTTTCTCGACGTTTTATAGATAGAATGTTTAAGTGGTTGAAAAAAAAGCCTTATATCAAATAATGACAGTTTGTCATTTCAGAGATGAAAATTTTAGATAAGTCAGCCATTTGTCGTTGAAAATTAACACGTTCTTACTGAAACTTGACTACCTAGATAACGTCATATTAGGGTCTACATTTTACTTGCACATTTCCAAATACGGAGTGTTTAACTACCCTTGACTTACTGTTTTGCCTGTATGAATATTTTTGAGCATTACCAGCGATATCTGATAAAGGCCCAAGTTACTAATTTAGAAACTTTCAAAGTCACGTCCACATGCCACGAAGTTGTCTAATTGGAATTCAAACTCAAATGTTAGTACTACCAACACTGAAATAGTCAAGATTAGAATACCACCTAAACAAACTGAACATATATACTATCTTTCTAACAAATACCTTAATATCAATAGATTACACCAGCTTTCGAGTTTCAAAAAGGTACAAGTATTTGTAAACAGTTGTCTACGCAAGATACTGAATATCCGTTGGCCAGAAACCACTAGCAACAGCTGATTGTGGGAGAGAACAAACCGGGCTCCAGCTATAGAGGAAATTAGGAAAAGAAGATGGAAGTGGATAGGATACACATTGAGGATATCATCAAACTGCATCATGAAGTAAGCCCTAACTTGGAATCCTGAAGGGAAGCGGAAAAGCGGAAGGCCGAAGAACACACTACATCGGGAGTCGGAAGCAGACATGAAAAGGATGGATAGCAGCTTGAAAGGATTTCCCAGTACATGGTTGGATGGGGAGTGCTAGTGGGAGGCCTATGCTCCCCCACGAGGGGTAACAGGCGTAAGTAAGCTCTCGAGTTTGTGGACTGCGAGAGCATTAAAAACTTTATATTCGTGATAAGTTCGGGTTGCAAGCATACGTAGATCAACTACGTCGGTAGTTTAATACATTTTACTCGATGCTTTTAGAATTCATTGTTATACTAACGCGATATAGCGAGGTATATCATGACCCATTAGTAGGATATTTCTACATAGTCACTTAGTCTAAGGAAGCACGAGGAACTCTGAAGCAGCAACCTGATCTCCACCAAAGATTTTCTACAGCACTAATGTTTTAGCTAATAAGATAGACATGTTCATAAAAAAGCTCTAGCAGCAAGTTACCAGTGTAAATATCCATTAGGTACATTCATTTACTACGAAAAGGCATTTGATAGCGTGGACAGAACAACACTATGGAAGCTTCTTCGACACTACGGCGTGCCTCAGAAGATAGTCAATATAATACAGAATTCATATGATGGATTACACTGCGAAATCGTGCGTGGAGGACAGTTGACAAAGTCGTTCGAAGTGAAGACCGATATCAGGCAAGGTCGCTTACTCTCATCCTTTCTCTTTCTCCTGGTGATCGACTGGATCATAAAAACGTCAACATCTGAAGGGAAGCACGGGATACAATGGAAATCTATGATGCAGTTGGACGATCTAGACTTCACAGATGATCTGGCCCTTCTATCCCAAACGTAACAACAAATGCAGGAGAAGACGAACAGTGGCAGCAGCCTCAGCAGCAGTAGGTCTCAATATACACAAAGGGAAAAGCAGGATTCTCCGATACAACACAGCATGCACCAATCCAATCACAATTGACGGAGAACATTTGGAAGATGTAAAAACCTTTACGTATTTGGGCAGCATCATTGATGAACAGGGTGGATCTGATGCAGATGTGAGGGCGCGGATCGGCAAAGCAAGAACAGCATATCTACAACTGAGGAACATCTGGAACTCAAAACAACTATCAACCAACACCAAGGTCAGGATTTTCAATACAATTGTCAAGGCAGTTCTACTGTATGGATCCGAAACCTGGAGAACTACGAAAGCCATCATCCAGAAGATACAAGTGTTTATTAACAGTTGTCTACACAAAATACTTCAGATCCGTTGGCCGGACACTATTAGCAACAATCAACTGTGGGAGAACAAACCAGATCCCAGCGGAGGAAGAAATGAGGAAGAAGCGCTGGAAGTGGATAGGACACACATTGAGGAAAGCACCCAACTGCGTCACAAGGCAAGCCCTCACATGGAATCCTGAAGGCCAAAGGGAAAGAGGAAGACCAAAGAACACATTACGCCGAGAAATGGAAATAGACATGAGAAAAATGAACAAGAATTGGATGGAACTAGAAAAGAAGGCCCAGGACAGAGTGGGTTGGAGAATGCTGGTCGGCGGCTTATGCTCCATTGGGAGTAACAGGCGTAAGTAAGTAAGTAAGTAAGTACATTCAAATTCCAAGCCAGCGAAAACTGATTTATACAGTTAAGAAAGATATCCAACACGGCACATACAAGCAATCCTTGTTGACATCGTTTTTTAAGTGAAATTAAACCTCTACAAAATTTATAGCAGTGAAATATCAGCGTTTAACAAACCTTAAATTCTCTAGAGAACTAAAAAAAGTTATTCATCGACCCAAGTTTTCCGAAGCGCACCGCTAGTTGCGCCCCTCTCAAAAACAATAACTAATGTCAATGTAATATTTTTTTAATCCGTTATCTTGGTGCTTTTAGATTCAATATTACAAACACATACTAATTCGACTTGAATGAAAATTATTGAAATTTTCAATAGCATCCCATGGTTTCACATTATGAGTGAACCTTTTGCAACTAAAAGGCGATTCAAAAAACGAATAACGCAACTGCAGTTATTCGAGTGCGTTTTTCGTCGAAATATGAATATTACCCGATGAAACCATTTGTACAGTCATACGTTTATTTCACCGTCTATCAAAATTTACAATTAAGAGCATTGAGCACAACAATTTTGACCGCTTTTTACACATAAAGAGTGACCTATTACCTACAAATCCCTGTAATTTCTTAAAACCTATTATCTTACTCATGTAACACAGACACTTGAAATTACCGCACTTGGTCTTATTCAATCCTCAGTTGTTACTACAGCCCGTCATTCGACCTGAATAAATCCTTGGAGCTTGATTTCCAGTGAAGATTAAGCTAATCCCTGACAGTGTATATTAATGTCACTTGTTCAGTCAGGGTGTTTCAGTCATCGACTACTGGAAGGTAGAGTCAAACAGAAAATATGAATGCCAGAAATTTAAGGTGTGTTTGGACTATGAATTCCATGAAATCACATATTTCGCTTGGATTGCTCGTTTATTCAGTGGCACGTATCTGGCTTGAATTATCTTTGGACCAATACTAATTCGATCTACAATGCTGTGCTAATTCAAGAATTAAATCAATAATACCTGGTATCTGATCTACAATCCCTTGTATTTATATTGTATCTGACCAATATCCGCTTATCATAATCAGCACGCAAAGACGAAAGTAACCCAGGAGAGTTTCGTGGTTAATATGTTTAATAACATTTGGTAGTTACTTCTGCATACATCAGTCATATATTCCATCAATCCCTCTAAGTTGTGGTCAGGATGGCACATAAATATGCCTTGTACGTCGCCACTATGAAACATCGTATTGCACGCACACAAACAAACTCAATCTAGTTCTTAACTGGATACTGTAACAACTTGAGTTGACTGGTTAAGAGTTGACCTCAAAGCTCAAGTATTCATTTACTTCCTTGTTTTGGGATTATATTTACTATTATTTTATACTGATTGTTAAAAGCTTTGTGTGTTTTAAGAAAAATAACTTTATGCTCCATTGCATCCTTCAACATTTCAAAATAAAGACCTGTCCACTACAAGTCCGGTTTCTTCTATAGGTACGTGAGGGGTACTCACGGCACGAAAATGGTGAGCTCTATTTAATTTCTGTCTCGCTTATTATTTTTCTCAGATTGAAATCATGAGTCAGTTGAAGCTTGACCACCATTGAAAACCTGGAAGTACTGGACGGCCGTTTCGTCCTAGTACGGGACTCCTCAGCAGTGCGCATCCACGATCCCGCGACCAGGTCTGTTGTGAGATATCAGCTCACTGAAGACAATGGTGTACGGTAGCGAAACTTCGTGGATTGGTTGAAAATAGACATTACCACCGTTGGATGCCGGCTCAGTGGTCTAGTTGGTTAAGCGCTTGGCGCGAGACTGATAGGTCCTGGATTCGAATGTTGCGGGATGCGGGATCGTGGATGTGCACTGCTGAGGAGTCCCGTACTAGGACGAAACGGCCGTCCAGTGCTTCCAAGTTTTCAATGGTGGTCTAGCTTCAACTGACTCATGATTTCAATCTGTGAAAATTTCTAAAAAAATCTCCACAAACCCCTTCTGATATTATTTTTCTGCTTAGTCGCAAAGGCAAACCCTCTGATCATGTTAAAGAGAACTTCGTATGTATATATTTATACATATTGGCATTCGTTGTTGCAAAGTATTCGTGATGCTGTCATTATTTTGCCCCTTCCTTTTGTAATGATGTATTGGTCATACATCACATGTCAGACTCAATCCAAACCGAAAGGCTGGAGGATAAATGTAATTTGACGACAGTAAAAAAAACTCAATTGTGACTACGAAATTCCGACCCCTAGAATTTGATCTTAGTGACCTAGTGTTGTGGTTTGCTCAACTAGAGCATCATTTCACGAGACAGTATTAAATCTGAAGGAATTCTGAACTTTTAAACCGCATGACGTGGATAAATGCAAAGATGCAAATCGTTTCAGAAATATGAGGCAACACTGATTGTTTTCAACGCGCTACTGCTTGTAGTAGGTGTCGAGTCGCGATTGACCACGATCACCACTACAAGAAGATTACGTACCAGTTATTAGGTTTGATCCCTTCGTAGACCAAAAAACAAAAGGTAATTGACTGTCGTAATAAAATATATTTGTTGGCGATCTCGTGGTATCTAAATAATACTGAGATCGTGCCAAATAGTACGAGCGGGACTACGTAGCGTAAACGAAAGCGTGCGAGGTCACAGTTAACGAAAGAATGTATCGTTTTAGTACGGTTAAACAAACAGGTACAGTAAAACAATCACTGTTACAATTGATTATAGTAATTTTTGGCATCATACCAATCGCGATCTTTTCATAAAAGTAGGTCACTATGTACTCATGAACATTATATAACCTAATACATAACGATTATTCGGCACTATCATATGTTATTGTTGATACCTAACAATCGCGGAATTTTATTGATACAATCGATATAACTTTCAAACAAACTTCACCGACTAACCGGCCCATACAATTATTAATTATATGAAGTTTGTGGCTGTTATCTAACAAATTATTCTAATACATATACCGGCCGTTCAAATGCTTGACAACTTATATCCTGATCAATTTAATTGGTGACCCGGAGACAATCATTTGCCCAAATCATCAGTTTACGCAACCAAGAGAAACTCCCGCAAACTGAAAAAGACATTGTCCCCTCTACCTTATTACTGACAGTTTTGCACCAATATCATTAACGTGAGTTCATAGTGACGCTGTTGGATTCTTATGCTTTTCTCAATATTCTTTGGTTCCGTTATTAAACTTATATAAAGCAATGGCCGTATATCATCCTGTAGAGACAACCTCCCTGTGCCACTGCCACTCTCGGTCTGTGATCTACGACTCTTGAAGACTGTAACAGTATTCGTAAGTTTTCCAAACTTTGACTACAAGGTGATTTGTAACTTCGTACAACGATATCATGGTTTCGTTTATCCACGGTTGTACTTCCGTACTTTAAGTTAATCTGCAGTATACATGTCTAACTAGATTTCAGCGCTTACGAACAGAAACCTGTCAATGACACTGATTGACTCTCTACTTTAGGTCAATCACAGTACGACTATCGATACTGATTGGTAACACACTACTACTCTAACGACCGAAATGCCAGTATTCGGTTTGAAGGCAGGACTGACGATCCAAAATGTATTCGAATGGGCCAGACTACGCTCTTCTGTATACCTTACCAAGCGTTTTTGAGATACCAAAACACAAACTCTCTGTTCAATTTAAACGGTTCTAATTTAGAAAATAGAACAAATTATATCAAAAATACAAAATACCTCAGACGATACAGCTTGTACCATACAGTTGGAAGTTTCTCTAACGCATAGTTGCGCGCTAAACAATAAAAGAAACAGGTAATACCAAAGGGTTCGATACCTCAGAACCAATGAAAATGTTCCCAACAAGATGGAATTAAATATCTATCTGCAGGGATTTCAGCAATCCTCCCAAGCAGACAGTCAAAAGGGCAACAGTCACACACTGAATCACGCCGTGACCTTCAGCTTAGTCAAACACGACCTTACTGTCAATAGCCCGGCGACATGTAATAGGAAATTAGGTAACAAAACGCAATAAAAGCTCAGACAAGGACAACTGAAGAACAAAAGGCGTGGTTAAACGAGATCTGAACAAAGGTTAACATACACGACAGGGAGAAGAAATAAATAAATGACAGTATTGTCCAACAAGAAAACTGCAGAGGGATTTTCAACGTTTCCTTTCGGTTAAAACTACTCTACCACCACTATAGTGTCATTACCCATGCAGCAAACTGAATGTTGCTTATTTGATGAACTCAATCACTTGTCCACGCAATCCGTTGCAACACTTGATAGGACTTTGAAAAGTTATATTGTTTTTTATTATTGTCATTGTTAGTTGATTGACACTGAACCACCCTGTAAGTTACTTTTAAGCACATCATCAAATCCAGCATCCCTGGGTTTTTTTTACTACACGCTTCTCCGACACGCAGCTACCTGTAATCCGTTTGGTACCGATTCAAACGCCCGCTAAACTGATACGGGAGTACCTCGGGGTCAGAGAAATGACACGGTCCTTACCAAACCATTCATCAGTCAAGTCAATGAGCAATGAACGCTATGGACTGACCCGAACAACAGTGGTCTTATTTTGTTCCTTTTACCTACTCATACCAATATATTTGTGCAATAACGCTGTATGGGTTGTATGGTCACCAAAGTACCTATAGTACCTGAATACGAAGAAAGGAGAATACACGTAAGGTATTAACCGTGAGATGTAACTCCGATATCAACTGGTTAGTCATACTATTCCCGTTCAACTCCAGTGAACCTCCAATCATTCAACACATATCATCTACGTTAGCAATCAACAACAAATCAAAATTCCACCCTAAGTTTATTTGATCGCGAAATTCGAACCTTCTTGCTGTTGTCTCGAAGATATTTAGTGCTGAAGAGAGCAAAAAGATAAGACACCTCAACAAACAAATTAATATCTAATATACAGGAACCCAACATGAGATTACCTCACTCCTAAAAAGGAAAAGAGGAAAAGGTACAGGCGTTTCAAGGGCAAAGTCTCAAATGACTCACTAATAACTTAGTTTCCACATGCTGAACACGCTCGAGAGCAATAACTTAATAAGAAGGTATGAACTGGCTACCTGAATCCAGTAATCTAAGTTAGCTCTCACATAATTGGAGCATAAAACCCAAGGCATACCTTCCCTTCAGCATTCTAATGTTCGATGAAGTAGTCATAACACTCGAAATCCTTCAGAGGCTGCTGTGTTGAAGCGTGTGAACTTCTGCATAAGCACGAAGTGAGATAACTTATGAAGTGCTTTGATGAAACCTATGAAGACCATATCGACAGACAAACCGCTACCATGGACTGCTGTTCAACCCCCTCTTTCAACAAATAAATTATGCACGAATGATGGATCGGAAACCTGCTCGACTCATGAGCTGATAGATTTCATTATTCTATGTGCGTAAGTTAGCTCGAATTATTTTCTCTGGTACCCAAACTACTGTGCTGTTTAGATTGATGGTTCGATAGTGAGACACGGTTTGTCGTTTCCCGCATTAAATATAGCGCTAACAAGAGCATCCTTTCAATTTCTAGGGATTTGAGTCTCGGAAAAGGGAAATGTTGAGTAGTATAGCGAGTTGTTCTGGAATGATTGCCTCATAGCATAATAGAAATCGTAGATA